CTGCGAATATATATATATATATATATATATATATATATATATATATTATATCAAGTCGCAGTAGTCGAACTGTTTATCTGATCGGGCTCTTCAGGTCATTTTCATCTAACCGTTTTGGCCGGCCTGTGGTCGAAAAACAAGGCTTTGGCCTGGGAACCCTTAGGTGGCGGCTTCGAGTCTGCGTAGCGGACCGGGCGACTCTCGGAGTATGCTTATCCCACGCGCAACTGGTGGTCGTTGCGTAGTAGCGAATCATCGGTTCGGCTTTTTGATGATACCTTTTTGCCAACCAATTTGTAGATCCAAGCGATCAATCACCATGGAATAACTGGTGAATTTGTGCCTGCGTCTCCCATACTTTAGCACTTTTCACCTTTTATTAGCCTTATTTTGCCGTGAATTTGCCGTGTACCTATGGACCCTGCGTAGGAGTCAGTGCTGCCTGTATGCCTCCGCCGAATTACATTTGTCATCGATCACCTGTCATGTTTCGTAGAACGACATACTAAATATGCCAAGACGCCATCATTAGACTGTTCGCTGGATGCTGCTTTTACTTGCCACTATCGTTTACCGACCGTGTCTTTCTAGTCTTTCTGGATTTGAAAAGATACTCCTGAGACGCATTACTGTTTGTGTTTTTCAGGTGTCCCATGTTGAGGCTGATGTTGCATTCAAGATGCTTCTTGACCGCAGTTGGGCTAAAGCAACTTACACTTAAACTAATCAGTTTAAGCTAGTTAAATTTCATTCCAATTTATTTGCTTTGTTCTGTCTACTTGAATGATCTACTATCAACTGGCCATGTTGATTACGCTAATTGTGATTATCTTCGTTAACTATTGTGTTTGTAGCATTTTTTGAATAACTTGCGCACCTTTTGTACTTTTCGCGGATTCGTTGCTAACCAACTTACTTCCTATGCTAATTTAGGGAAGACTTATGTCTGCATAGCCGTATTCTTTAATAGATGTATTTTATTTTATAATGTTATTTTAAGTGATTGGCTGTTGTTTGACATTCCCGATGTGGCTGCGCTTGATGTACATGTTGACAAGGTGCTTACCTGTTTATTACCCATTATCTCGTCCATACTGGCTCTAGGAGACAGTTGGTTGTTGCTGGAGGGGACGGGTTGCACGGTCCTTGTGGCCGTGCTAGGCTCGAAGATTGGTTCCATGTACTCAGTGTGGAGCGGACTACGGTCCAGCCACAGCCTTGTGTGCGCTTCCCAACTACAGCCTGCTTTTGTTTGCCTGTGAAGAAGTGTGGACCTATTCTGTTGATGATAAGTGACTCCAATCCACATGCCTGCCGATCTTATTTTTTCGGGTTTACACTGGATATGGGATGTATGGATGGAACTGTGGGTGGTGCAGCGCAAGCCACCCATGGTCCCTCTGTAGGTACAGGCGTCCTGTGGCTGGCCACATTGACAGGCAAATCCGAAACCGGATGCTGCCAACCATATCTCTTCACTGACAACTAGAGGTTGTCAGGGCTTTTTTTGCCATACTTGCCTCAAAACTTAAGACGCTTCATTCAGTTGGTATGTTTTCCGTTTTATTTGGTGATGTGCAATACACAGACCTCGAAGTATCCAATTCCGTCGCAGTGAGACTGGATCTTAGCGTGGTTCTACGGTTTGTGTACTTCGACTCATTCAGCTAAACTGAATGGTGCCCCTGGGCCCCTTGATAGCTACTCTCATTAGGTTGGTCAATTATTGGGAATCACACAAACTCAGTGTTCTGGTCCTCCAGATTGGAGGTTTGATATGGTATTGCGTCCATTTCTGCAAAACTAACTCATTGCCACCACTGCGCTGCCTTGCGGACAGGCTTTTGATCCAAAGGGTTTGGTTGAGTACCCGAACCATCCTCCGATCTTGGTCTGGACGGCCTGGCAGTATATCAGCCCACGTAGCACCATTACTATCACTTCAAACTTCAACCACATCATGCATCGGCCATCGCGCAGATTATGAAGGGTCGCCTTATCTGCTGCATACAGCAGGGTGGATAAGCGAGATTATGCTACTGCTGTCGCCTCCTCTCTTTTGCACTTGTTTCCCTTACTCCCATCCTGGCCCCCATTCATAACTTTAATTCCATTCCAGGCTTAATTTACAGCAATCAAAGTGCCAATGGAGTCGAAGCATCTGCAACTACCTTTCCTTACCACTTACTAGACGCCTATCGGCAAGGGTGCTTTATATGGCCACGCGGTCCCCTTTCCTTTGAGTCATCCAATGTTCGCACTAAGACAAATAGGTCAACAGGCTGCACTCGCACGCACGTTGGACACACTGGGTATTGGCGTATGTTCTATGTCCGAAACTATGATCAATGACCCTAATGGGGTTGTTGAATTAACTGCGCCCAGCTTGTCCTCTCGCTATTGGTTGCACGCATGTGGAGACGCTCATGCGGTAACCCCTGGTCAAACTGGAGTGAACATTGTTCTATGCTCCAAAGCGAAGTCATCGTTTTTTGATTGGATCCCCATGAGCAGCCGTTTGCGTTCAGACTGTTTGACGACATCAAGTAAGATGGATTCACGAAGTAGTAATGGTTTCTGGTTTTCGCTTATGCTCCCGCGGACTGCAGTTCTGGTGTTGCAAGGAGCACTTTCTTCCACGCACCGGACACACGCTGCTTCGCAGAGCTTCCACTTCAGATGTTGTCGTTACTGGGGACATGATTGCACAAGTAGGTGGTCTGAGCTGTTCAGAAACTCAGCTAGCTGGTAACTAGACCCTTGACTCCGACCGTACAAGCAACGACGAGCGTCTGTTGCATTTCAACACGTTACCATAGGTGGCGTGGTTCCATCCTGCATTGTCGCTGGTTCTGGAGTTTCTGCGTCGACTCTGATCATACTTTGGTTCTGTGCGGCGTGAGAGCATCGATATGGATACCGCAGGCCGTGTTCCGCAGGCTGTGTTTCTCGACTTCAAGTCTGACTTCGACTCAGACAATCGATCCCCTCTGTTCGAGGTATTTTCACGTAAAATTGTTTCCATGAAATATGTGAACATCTTACGTGCTCTGTACTCGAACACCATAAGCCACATCAGGTTCTACGGTGACTTATCAGATATCTTTACGACAACAAGTGGCGTTTTTCAGGGTTGCCTAATTTCCCAATGTTTGTTCTACTTCATCGTGGACTCCATCATAGTGTGTTCTCTTGCGGCAACTTCCGATGCGGGCGTTGAAATACGGCCTGGCGATGGAGTAGTTGACCTTGATTATGCGAACGATATTGTCTTGCTTTTTACCGATGTTGGGCTGCCCAGTCAACCATGGCCCTATCATTTGGCATGCGCTTTGCAAAGTGTTGCTGCAAGATCACCGGTCACTTTGTGATCCCTTGATGTTTGATGATGAGGAACTCGAGGTACTTGATCAATTCACTAACCTTGGTGGCTGCATCAGTAACAATTTGCGCATAAGTACTGAAGTCAGTTCACGTATTGCAAATGCTGGAACTGTCTGCGACATCTGTGGCGTCAGAAAGGGGTTTTCCTCGGTCTAAAAGGCCGTGTTTACTAGGCCACGGTGAGAGCCGTCCTGCTCCATAATAGTGAGACTTGCTTCCTTCCATCTTAGGTCAAGTCTTTGATAATCGCTGTCTGCGAAGCATTGCTGCTGTCGGATGTTACTAGCGTGTTCACAATGATTATTTGCGTAGGAGGGTGTTAGGCGGTGACTATCACGCTAGTTACTTAGAGCAACAGATAGCAATGAATACGTTGCGTTAGTCTGAACGCGTACTACGTCTGCCTGGTCGCCGCTTACTGAGGAGGGCATTATTTAGTCTGCCAGATGTAGGGTGGCACAAGGCTCGTGGTAAGCGAGTTAACTTGGTAGCGGGAAGTGAAGTCAATGACTAAAAAACTTAGTGCTGTCAGTTTGTCCCGCATTCCAGGCTATAGTGCACATATCCACCATATGCTTGACTCGAAATATAACAAGACATGTCTCGTAGTCTTTACTAGTTGCCGTCCGAACGTAGTCGGTATGACTTTTCTAAGTGTGTTCGGTGCTGTGGTATCTACGTGGTAATGGCTGATTTTGAGGTGGTGCAGTAAAAGCTGTCTCTTCGATACCGCCTTATCTTTCCACGATAGCCGGCTTTTTGTGACGGTATGTTGTTGAATATGTGTTAGCGCCTTGACTTTGAATTTCTATTTAGGTCATTGAGGTTTTACGCTGCAGTCCCCTTTTTCTCCCTATTATTGTTCTTCATTCAGTAGGTCATCGTCGCCGTTCCCCAATGATGCATCAGTCCAAATGGCTGATGTACTGCTGTTGTTGATGGTGGTGGTGATGGTGATGAAATTTTCAGTTCCGAGAGATATCCGTAATACACAAGTCACGTTAAAATAGGCTTTATGCACCCGGCTTGGGACATTTTGAGCTCGGAGTTCGCTCGTTTTACAAGCTGCGTATACCTTTTAGTACTATTGCAAGTGTATATTTGGATTTTCTGCATCATTATCACCCTTCCACACCAACTGGACGACCGAAGTCAGTAAATGGATGCACTTTAGCCCTTTCACTGCGGTAAACGGAGAAACGAAGATCGACTGGTCTCACTACTCATTTCCCAGATCTGCACCACGTGCCCAAGCATATTCTCCTTCCAAACGGCCTGAGCATGTTGGGATGTAAGACCAACCTCTGCTCGTATTTGATGTACGGCTGCCACATCCATGTCCCGCTCGCCTGGCTAGTCGCATACTTAAAGGGACGTAGTATCTTGTCACCATGTACTTTACTCTTGAATTGTTGTCTCCGAATTCCCGCTGACAAATATTCTGCAAATCGTGTGTCCTACTTTTCCATACAGCAGTTCTGCTTCTGTCTCCCATCGTTCCACATTTTCACAGTTCATCCTCCAGCGTTTCTGCACGGATTCCGTTTTCTTATTCGATAAACCCCGCATCTGTCATTTTGCCCCACATACTTCCACCCTCCTTTGGTCGTTCACAGGAGCAAGGCGCGTTCCATTTGCCAGCGTTTCGTCGATCTGTCACTCATTACACCTTTGAATAGGATGGACGTCGGGGAGTTTCGCGACGATTTCACTCCTTATCGCATCGAAAACCCTTCGGTAAGTCACTGCGTCAAATAGCACACTATTGTTCTATGGTTTACGTTTTTTACGAATTTTTACGCTTGAATTTCGGAGGCACGACTGCCCTGCACTATTATTTCACGCACCAGGCTCCGATGGCTGGGCCATATGTTACGTATGTTGACACAACGACCCCGGGATGTGCATGAAAGAAGAGCAGAAGTAGCTAACTGATAACTTGGTCAAAAGGAATGAAGGACGTCACTTAGAAATTTGTCTTGCTTGGAGCCCCCGGGCTCTGGTTAGGTCCTTCTCCCTTTTAGTTTCTAACCGTGAACTCAGTGCCTACGCATAATATAACTTTTCGTTTTGTTTTTGTTTTCTCCATCCTCACCCCTTTTTGATAGCATCTAATTGGTTTGTATTACGGCACAATGGCTCACTTCTAGCCAACTTGTATAATGATGATTACCGTTGCATCTGTGAAGCTGCTTCGCTTAATTTGGGCCAAACCGACTCGGCCACCTGCAGTCACTTTTAGTACTTAGTGTTGTTTCTCCAAAACTTTTAGTATGAATTTCCGCCGACTGTTATCGTTTAATTTTCTAATCCGCACGCTTTGGTAACGATTTATGGTCTGTTATCTACGCTTTCCCACATTGGGCCACTGATTAACTTGATTCCATGCTTCACCCCACCGAGAAAGATATGTTGATGCCACGCGACTGTGCATCAACAGGCGGAAGTCAACGCAGACCAGTCGGCGCGGATTGGGCCACTTCACTTACCTTGGGAGTCACATTTTTAGTGATGAGTATGTGACCACCGCGATTAGTTCGTGCATTACGAAGGCTAACACTTCTTACGTATTTGCGATAACTTTTGCGTCCGAAATGGCTTTCCAACTACTATCCTGAGACCCACCCTCTTCTCATTCGCGACTTGGCTCCCTCAGTCTATACATCGCAGGAATCTTCAACTCCCTGAACATCTCGTGTTGATATCGCTCTCGCTTGGTGGCACCAGCCTGTTGCCATCGGTGCGGTGAACCGATGGCGATGGCCACATTAGTTCTTTACATCAGTGAGTTTGGCCGATAAATTGCGTCGGTTCGGGCAGGTGCTGCCCACCTCTACATATCGCTTACTGCTAAGAGCCGTTTTGTGTACCGGATCCACGTGGTATCGTGTCGCAGCAAATGTCTCTTCTTCTTGTCTTACAGGTTCGAGTCCACCCCCTGACTCACCACGATGACGTACTTCTGTCACAGTATTGTATCATTGCTGTAAATGGGACAGATTACACGGCAAAAGCTAGCTTCCCAGTCTGCATTTGGTAGATCAAACGACTCTCCTACTCTTTAGCATTCAGCTTGATGCATCTCATTGTCATGTTGCTGATATCAGCGCCCGTCGATGTGTTATCAATACATGCTTTATCGTTTCCCTTCTTATTCTTCTTCAAGTCTAGCATAGCCCCAAGTGCATCACACATGCACGACCGCCGTGTTTCTTGGCCTCCGAGTCACTCATCGCCATCGCTTGACTTCCATAAATCTGGTGGGTTGGACGAACCAGAGTGGCTTCGCGAGACCGAGGCTTCTCTGCCCCATTCCTACCCTCCCCTATCTGACTCCGTACAAATAACGGTGGATGAGGATCACTCTTCCACCACACAAGTCACTCGTATCAGTTGTGAGTTTCATATCCGTGTAATCCCGTTTTCACTGTTTTAAACCAAATCTCATCCTTTTACCTCTATGTAGAACAGGTTTCGCTACTAGCACTATTCCTTTTTTATTCACGAGCCACTTCATCTGCGCCTTTAATTTGCACCGCATCCAATCTGGTTACCACGTTCACTTTCCAAGTGGAATGAATCTACCAACATCATTGACTGATGTAGATCCTGTATACAGGTCAGTATTCACTTTCCCCACCTGAAACATGAGCAGTAATCATCGGAATATGAATGCACTTAAATTGGTAGCTGCGTTGAATCTCGATGAAACTCATCATCGCCATTACACACGTTAGCTTGAGGTGTGAAGCACCTCAGCTATTGTGCCGTTATACATGAGAGAGGAAAGTGGACTCAGCACAGACACGCCACTTAAGCCACCAGTACTAGATGGACATCGTTCCTGAGAACTGGCAGTCTGATATTGTGTCGCAGAAAGAGCAAAATGTTTTGTTATCCATCAGGAATGGGACATGGTTAAAGCGGGAGGAGGAAGAGGGACAAAACACACACAACACAAACGCCATTGAGGTTGGATCTTCGCCATGTCAATAATTGTATCCAGCCAAATATGTTCATCATCTTTCGGTCCCCAACCAGGGAGCCGAAAGAATCTAACCGAAGCCAACTTTCAACTAAGGGCCTTCATTCCTCCTGACCAACTTATCGCTAGGCCACCTCCCCTCTTCCTTCCAGCCAAATTCCGATCGCACAAATATCGCACGTCACGGGAGTTGGTGGGTTGGCATGCGCAACAGGTGGTCCAGCCATCGGAGCCTGGTGCTTGAAATAACGGTGCTGAGTGGTTCATTTCCTTTTCCTGTGCCGTAAACAAAGTGTCGAACACGCTCGTTGCTCAGGTGGTGTTTCCAACAAATGTGAGCCAAACCATGAAGGCACCGGTAGTCGAACGTTACCAGCCTCATTATGTCCGCTGATCTATTGGGCTAGGTTTCACAACCATGCAGTGGGGTCGAACGTACGGCTGCATTGTACGGTATCCTTCAGGATGAGTGATGTCACGCCGAAGTCATAGGTGGCAAAGCTTAACAAAAGCGGTGTGAGCCTTTACTGTACGGGTTGTGACCTCATGTTCAGTTCCACAGGCGCTGATAAAACTACCTAGGTATTTGAATTTTTGAACAACTAGGTGATCCTCATCAAGGCGTTCCCTAACAATCTTGGAGGAAACTTTTATACTATGAGGGTGCGATGCAAAGCACAAAACTGCTGACAGCTATTGCTTATTTATCTGGTACTGCTTAGCGCTGAAACTCCGCTAGGACGAGTGTCCGCGCGACAACCAACTGTTGCTCTATTCCGACCTTATAGATTTCTTCTGCGAAGCAGGTGGTTTAAGACACTTAATTGTTTGGCTTCTCGTTTGCCCCTAATTCACCGTCATTTAAACCTCGTGAATTATAATATTTAATACTTATCTTGCATGTGAATTTGCTTATATGACTGACCAGCCCCATCACGCAATTATACTCCCTTGCCCTTTATTTAGCACTTTAGACGCGGTGGATAGGTTTGTTCTTCCAATCGTAGTTCTTTTTTGCAGTCACACTAGATCATATTGAGTTCAAAGATCAACTCCTTATATGAGCTTGCGTGTTATCAAATGACCTTCGCACTTTGGCCATTGCACCACCTTATGTGCGTTATCTTACATCGGCCCGAGACTGCCTATATTGCACGGTCTTATACTTCCTGTTTGTCTTGTTTTTGATGCATCCTCCGTGTGTCTTGGATTGCGACACGGTATCTCAATTGTGGCTTCATTTTACTTTGAAGTCAGCCGCTGCCATTTCGATCCCTGGGATCTTATCGCAATCCAAGACAAACGGCAGGTGCTCCAGAAACTCGGTAATCAACTTCCGTGTCAATCGCTGCTCGCGAAGCTCAATAGCCACGAAACCCTCCACGTTCTGGTTGTATTCATGTTATCGTAAACAGGAGGTGGTTTTATGGAGGCATAGCGGTATCAGCTAGTTCGCGAATTTACGCTTTGTTTCATCGGTGTGGTTCATAACGTTGCAATACCTCATGACCCGACCTGTCTTAATGTACCGCTCCTACTGAACGGTGCCGGGGTTTCTGGCGTCCATGTGAAGTATTTCAATTATAGACTTCCGCACGGTTGCTTTTTCTTTTCCTAGACCTGTACAAATATCTGCATTCTAACATTTGTGTGCAGAAGATTCTCCTGTCTCGCTTGCTGATACAAAGAAGATGCACTTTTTGTCGTGAGGCTTGATTGCTGTGTTGATTGCCATATTCATCACACTACCGTTAGCGGCGATGACTTTACGTCAAGTCGAAATGGGCTTTTTACACCTAATACGATGCACATTGTCAGCATTTACACTATCACTGCGGATAGGCTGAACGAATGGGGCCAGCTAAAAATACATAAACACGGATTGAAAAATTAAATAATCAAAGGTATGTGGATATCATTCAAACAACCGCATGCGCAAATCATTTGTGTCTTAGGGTCGATAACAAAGCGTCACAACTAAGACAAAATTGTGTTACGATACGATGAAGTGCGAGAGAACAAAATCATAAATTTTGTGTGTGTGGGTGAGAGACAAAAAGATCATTATGTAACGGATGAAAGCGGTCACTTAGGACATTAGAAGCAAATTTTATGCAATTGTCGAAGTGCTTACGAGCAGTAAAATCATGTACGGAATCTCTAGGCAAGCCACCGCATTTGAAAATGTGTTTAATCGATCGCACACGCAAAACATAGTCTTTCTGCTGTAATCCAGAGAAGATAACTTGGGAACAGTACAACCAAAGAGGTAATATATATGCAGTTTCGTTGCACGGAGAACTTCTCAAGTCGGAAAGCATAAACAGCTAATCTTCTGACTTTGTGCAAACTCTCCAAAGCATTGCATAGACCAAGAGAGTTTTTGTTGAAAATAGACACCAAGCTATTTATCAGTGGATGAAATAGCCATGGTTTTATCCTCCAAACTTAACACAGGAGAGACATCTAAAATTACTCGCCATTTCAGGCGGAGAAGTGAAAATGTTACTTCAGCACATTTCAAAGCATTAAGGTTAAGGGACCTGGTTGAGAACCATTTTACATGTTTGTCTAAACCACATTGGAATGTAGACGTCCCAATGGAGGGAGCTCTGCACCCCAAGATAACACCACCAGCATATTTACATCCGATGTATGTTGGTGGTACGGGGAGACTTTCCACATATAAAGAGAATAGAAGGAGTGAGAGGATTGCGCCCTGCAAAACACCACAGTCAGCCCAGAGCAGAGCTATTTAACTGGGTAAATTGCGTACGATCAGTGAAATAGTCACGCAATAAGTTACAAACATCAGAGTAGACTCCGTTCAAATCAAGTAGATTAAGCAGAACTGATCGATCAAGACTCCCAACCGCATCTGAATAGTCAAGGAAAGGAATTCGTACGGATCTACACTTTATCTAGCGCAGAGGCCATTGAATTCACAAGTTAAGAGACAGCATCAAATGTGGAGTGCTGGGGTCTAAACGCAAACTGATACACCTCATCGGCACGAGTAGCTGTGGAAATCCGTGGGACTAGTAGCTTTTTCGAGGATTTATAAGGGCACGAAAGTACAAGCAGTAGGCCAGTACTTGTGTGGTTCCTTTTTAGGAATTGGCTTTATTCTGGCACAGGTCGTGAGACACTTGGTAAAAATATCAGTCAGGGGTATTGTTAGGGTATCGGTACACTGCTTCAAAACCACAGGGAATAAACCATCAGGGCCACTAGGTTTATCTGTATTTAGCTTCTTGTGTTCTCTGTTGACGTCATCTTAATCAAATAAAGCTGTTGGACCTGAACTAGTGAAGGAGAGAAATGGAAAAGCGCTCGACAGAGAGTAACTAAACTCAGAATTGCGTTTGTCAACATCTACTATTCCTGTACAACCGATGGTACTTTTACCACAGATTTGCTTCAACAGCCTCTAGTGATCCCGGTAGCAAGCGTTTCCCAGTACCATTACAATTTATAAACTGTTTAGTCTTGCTATTTCAACTTTAATGGCTAAAGTCAGGCTTTTGACTCAGGTGGTTATTTTGAGCTTGTAAGCGCGTTCTTTCTTTTTTCGAAGTTGTTACAACAGGGTAAAGAAAATCTATCTGCTCGCAGGTAAATCGTCTCGATAGGGCAACGTATGTGGAAACAGAAGTTTACGTAACTCGTGTGATAATCACATTGAAGCAATAGATCTTCATCTGTAAAAACTGAAAAATCGGTTGAGGAAAGCGTTGCTTGAAGTTGTGTGCTATTTTCCGCCAAGTAGTTGCATCGTCGCATAGTTCTGAATTGTCGTTTTGCCACTGCGGCATTGTTAGTTTTGCAGTAGATGGTATGGCAAATCCTTAGTATACAATGGTCTGAGTTGTTTAGTGCTGCACGCTTCTGAATGGAAAACAAACAAATTTTTCGTGTTAGCCACAGCAACCTGTGCGTCTAGTCTGGTCGGGAAAGTTACTAAATTTCCCAAATCAAATGACTTGAAGGACGTTGTATCACATTTGGTAAAGTTACCGGTGATAATGCAGACCGAGCATTCTAATTTCGGCAGCAATACCAAAGAAAGCCGTTCAACTAAAAGCCTCAGTTCGGACCATGATGTATCAGGAGCATTATTGAAGTTTCCGATAACAACGGATTGAAAGTCACTGATAAATATAGGCTTGCATTCAAGTAGATGACAGCTAACTGCGTTTGTAGAGTGTGTGAATAGTTGATTGATTTAGTTGCACAACAGTTGGCTAACGTACATGATTAGTCCGCCACGATTCCTTGGGTTACCTGAGCGATTGGACGTAATCGCTCGATATCCACTGATGTCTATAACTCTTCAATTTCAGGGTACAACCAGCTTTCTTGTAACGTAATAATACATGTGTTTACATATTCCTTTCGTTGTATAACTGCTGTGAGGGCAGTGCTTTTTCCTTGCAATAAACGCACGTTGTTGGAAAGGATCAGTGGTAATTGCGTTTTCTGCAAAGAGCATCGTCGGAGGCCAACTTTCCAACCAGCGCGATGTTTCCTCATGTTGCCATAATGTTTTCTCACAATCCGTTTGAAAGTGTTCTTTTTACGTACCGTTTTTCGAAATGATTTTTTAAAAAAATCCGCAGTAGGATAACATTGTTAACCGGGATGTGATTCGATTAAACAAAACTGGTAAAGTAAAACAACAAATGTTACATATCCGCAGTAGATAGCGTAAAATAAACGATGTTCCAAGAAGCAACAGCAACGGCCAATTTGAAGGTCCCGCCACCATTCATTTGGGTTCTATGGGCGTTCCGTTGTTTTTTTATCCTCCTCGATCTCGTTGCCGGAAAGGCAATTGCGATTCCTTTATCTTCCATTGTCTTCAGCCTTGTTCCTTCTGACTCAAGTGAATTAGAGGATTGTCGTTTTCACCCGGAATCGGGCTCATTTTTTGTCTCGGGTTGTTTTTTGGAAGTCCGGATAATCCCTGGCTCTCTTTTTGATAGGGAATCTTGTGATATTTTCTAGCAGTCGAATTTCGGTTCATTCTTTATTATCGTTTAGACACTATCTTTTAAGTCTTTTCCTCAGACAATCACTGTATGATTACTGCTCTTTGATAAACTTAGTCGTTGGATAAACTGTGTTTTACCCTCTCCTGACATCAAATACTGCAGTCCCTTTCAACCTAGGCTGAAATCCACACGCAACAGTCGCTCAAAAAACATCAAGCAATGACGTGCCTTTGCATTTTTCTGTCGGCTACTTTCTGGTTCACACTCCTCTCACAGCTCACATTTTAGTGGTCTGGTTTACATCATTGCTTCCTGTATGTTAGCGGTTGTGGCAACTGCGTTGTTTTACTTGTGAAATCCTCCCCTCCGAGCATGTACTGCTCGTTTCTTACTTATTTCCCATCTGATCGCATGTTGAAGTGCTATGTATTTCGGTACGTGCAGTTTTCAAGCATTAGTTCAGGTGTTCCTGCTGATCGATGGCGTTAGGGTCCACCCGCTTTTCGTCCGCTTCTTGGGACGCACTCTTAGTCGTGTGCTTGTCACCGGTTGGTTATAACTGAGCAAACGACCTATACTTAACCATCTCATCCCATGACTGATCGGGTCCTAATGGAGTGCATTTTGTAAGTTTCCTCCTCAGCCAGTATCTTTATTTTCGTGACCCTTTTATGTTGACATAGAATGAGAACTACATTCTGAATCCTTGGTTCCCCAGCTTTGCTGCCAAGCTATTCGACGGGGCAATTTACACCACATTTTATTCATACGTAGGCGCAGTGCATTCCGTACAGCTGGTACCAATTCGAGTCGGAAATATCATTCTACCTGACCGATTGCTTATATTGAAGGTGCTGCGGCTTTTCAAATGCTTCGAGGGATCTAGTCCTACCGATATCAATTACTATGTGGCGGACAGTCAGGCAGGCAGGCCTCATCTTGGAGACTCCATTGAATCTATCTGGTGACAGGAGTAGCGCGTTCTGCCCACTGCTTCGTTAGGCGTTTAACTACATATCTGTGAGAACCTTTGCTCGAATAGGTTGCATTTTAGCTTGACACAAATACTTTCAGCACGATAGTAAGAGGATTCAACCGGGTCAACCGGAATTCATCACAATTAGACATTGCTGGACGCGCCTACGAACATACGGAAATACATGGGACGGCGTTTTCATGATACTCGTCGTTAATGCTCCTTCCTTCTTTCCATTTTAGGCGCCAACACATCGATTTAACATTTTTCATCGAACTGGGACACATGAGGACTATCGATGATCTAGCACTCAAACGTTCCCTCCCAGTTACGAATATTGCTTTTAATGTCAACCGCTAACGGAACATTTTCGGTCGTTGTTTCATGTTCGGTCATTGTGTTGCCGCGCAGAAATCCCTAAATTATTTGTTCGCGTTTGGCCCTTGTCAACTCATTGTCTGTAGCGGGCCACCGCAACAAAGCGTAAACAATGTTAGCGACATTTCTATTATTCTGCTTCGCGACTTCTTCGGAGACATCACGAAATCTGGGATAGAAGTGCAGGAAGACAGAAGCTCTTCGTGCATCCCGGTAGCCACGGATTTGGAGTCACTCTTGCCAAGATATAGGGATGCTTGGACCTTAAGATCTACATATTACCACCGTTATCCTGTTTTCTAACAGACATTTCCACCTCGCATGCTGATTTATTAGTTTTGTTAGTGGTTCTTCAACTGTGTCTGTCTGGCGCTGAACAGTGACAGTTACGGACGTCATCGAAAATTGATTTTCTGTCAGTGAACAGATCAAGGTATCTTTTCCTCTAGCGGACACCCGTTCTGTGCAGGATCGCATCTCTTCCTAGAGTGACCGTGCTTTGTTGTGTTCGCTCCTAGCCGTCTTTCATGTCTTCAATGTAATGAACAATCCTCTACTGACTTGGGTCTAACGCAGCACTAATTTTAGCAATACCATTTTAAATATTACGGTGGTGTTCTAGTTCCGGATTTATATGTAAGGTATCCGGAATGTATGTCCGGTGCCACAAACATCCGTATGCGTTTTTTCGGAAACATTTGCACCCTGTCTATTGTCCTACTCCCAGAGTCTCAGTATGTAGTGCATTTTCCACCGATGATGCTCACAAGAATGCACGAACCTATCTGCACAATCGCTCAAAAATATTCGCTGCATCTTCAATGCCCGTTCATACGTCGAGTTGCTTGTCACGAGCTAGCGGAGCGAGACCACTGGTTTAGCTTGAGACGTGTTGAATATCAGTTCATGGTAATGAAAACTTTTCCGTTTCGTGTTTTCTGGTTTGCTTACGGTATTTGTACGATATATATATATATATATATATATATATATATTCGTAATCGTACTCTTTGCATGATCTACTCCACCCAACTTTTCGAAACACGCGCTTTCCATAACGCTAGGCCATATGCTTCTAACTCTTCGGTCAACCTAAGATCGGCTTACGGTGCTCTGACGTCTAAGCTACCCCGGTTGTTACCACCGCGAGCATACTCGACTATACAACAAACATTTATCACTTTATTTAACTGTTTTCTAACCTGTGCATTGCTATTCACATTATAAATGGATTGACAAGAGAGTGCTCCATAGACGACGTAAAATCGAATCGTACTTTCATTGGTTCCGCGGTATTTTCAAACTCCGCGCCCAATCCCCGTGGTTTGCGTATTTTCTCTATCGTTGTAGCTCAACCACCCAACGATACTCTTCTCGATTTCGGAATGAAGACAAGTACCCATGGTGAGCTTGACTCCTGTCATTGTTGATGTTACTTATTTCGAACTCCGTTAGAACAGTCAGGACGCTCCGCTCTCGAAGGTTTCACCGGTTTGCTTTTGTTCAATGTAGGGCATTTTTCTCCATCGTCGATTTCATGCTTCCCGTTTATACTGCTTCCATTCGGGTTACTCATTCATTCAAGCACCTCCCCGTCTCTGCTTACTCCCAACCAGCATATTCTGAGAGTGCGTATCCCTTCCCATCGGTTTAACGTCATCTGGGATCTGTGAGATAATCAACACATACTGTCGGACACGGGACTTTCGTCCCCGTTTTTCGGTTATGAACGATTTACTCTTCCATGGATACACTATGCCTAACGATCTAGCTGCATCCGTCTCGGTCGGTATTTGCTTTCGGTGAACTAAATACGGACACTACCGTGCTAGGTGTCAGTAATGTTGACGTGCAGAAACCCAAACGACAACGAGCCAACAGTGAACCATAATAACCCCGAAAGAAACGGAACTCATCACGACCGCAACTGTATGCGCGCGTGGAATGGACACATCAGCAATGCGTACCACACAACCACTAGACACAGAAGCAATGCGCTTCACGCAACCTTCAACTGAAAGTGCCTAGATGAGTGAAACTTTCTTTGGTTACAACTGATGCACCTAGTTCATGTTTGCCACACCACCATGGATCGACTTGAACGTATCTATTAAAGTTCTCCGGCCCAAGGTGAATTACTTGATCTACTGCACCTTGTAAAACTTTGAAGTGTTACAGCCTTACGCGCAATGCATTGGGCTCGGATTCGTATCTGTTAAGCTTATGCAGTAAATTGTGGGGCAAGGTTGTTGACCAAATCAAATGGTTAGTATGGACACACCACCTTTTAACTTCTGAACGCGACTTCTTGTCAACCACCAAGTTTCCGGCATAATCGTACAATTTTAAAACTGCTCAGTCTGCGATCGCGATTAAAATAAACCTTGCTGCAATTCTTTGCGCATCTTCGTGACTCAGTTGATCTACACTGGGTGGCACTTCAGAGCCACCCATACCAGACAGGCCAGTGGCTCGGAGTTCGACCAAATCATTCTCAACTTCGGAGGTAGAAGGCTATAAGCTAAGACATAGCTCGATTAGCCTAGAGTAGGAGTGCCACGCACATGACTAAGTTACCTTGCGTATCAGCAAGCCCCTTGTGGCTTTTAGAGACTCAACCATCTATGAACACTGCGGGATATCAGACTTTCAGTGAAAGGTAGGGTATACAACGCTGCGATAAGACCTGTGTTACTGTATGGATCAGACCTAGAGTTCGCCATAAAGACACTAAAACATTGGATGTGTCTGGCCACCGGTGCTTGCGAAGTATTGCTAACGTTTGGTGTGAACACCAGATGAGCAATGCTGAGGTCCGCTGTTTGGTTTTGGCAAGAAACCTTCCGGCGCCTCACTGGAGTGTTTGCTGAATCTTAGTCGCCTACGTTGGCTAGGCTGGGCCCTCCCTATGCCCTTTGACCGGCTTTCCCAATGTGCATGATACTCCGTGGCCGCACCTAGTTGGGCGAAACCAGGAGGTGGCCATTCCATGATATGGCATAGTGGCTTGTAGAAATTGACTGAGAGAATTGGTCAGGCGGATGCGTGCTGTCTTCGGGACGGTTCACACCAGTGGTTGGAAACCGTGTCAGACATAGCGCAGTCAGGTAGCCATTGGCGTTCCTGCATTTGGCTTCTTTCATCTGCTTGTTAATTTTTCCTGCCATTCGGATTAATTCAAAACACTTTTTTCTTGCTTCTATTTTGTTTGCATTTATTTGGTTTCAGCCCCACTATCTTGACGCTATCACTACTTAGTGTTATTCTTGCGACTGGAACCGCCGCACCTCGGTGCTCGGGTCATAGTTGTTCAGCTGAACTGAATGGAACTGGATTCTTGCCTTTTTTACTTGGCTCTATTCCCTTTATGTAGTGAAACGTTCTCCTGCAACGTTCTGCTTCCGAAATGTTTTGGTCTGCTCGCATGTTGTAATATCTCACACCTTCCCTCCGCAATGCAGTTTGTCTTTAAGCGCCAGCTTTCCCCTTATTCTCTTTTTGTTACCGGCTTCGAATAACTTTCGCATATATACTACGCATCTACATTATATCGTTGGATACAAGACACCAGTCTTGGTAACTCGCATTCGAAGGTAGACTGATTCACACCTACCCATCCCTCTTTGCATCCATTGATCAGTTCTCCAATCCACCGAGTCTTTTGAAATGGGTGTGGACGTGCGGTTGACCCCAGAATCGATCGATGATTCTTCACTATCTGCACTCCCTGATGGCGTTAAACCGTGTGTATCAGATCTACTAAACACGGTCTTCATGCGCACCAGTTTGAGTTCGACTGCAGATGCCAAGGTGGAACCGAAGTTTTCATCAATGAGGCAGGATTTGCTCCAGAGCATCAGGTCAGTCCAAACATGACTCACTATTTGTTATTCATCTCTCTACCTGTGAACTTTTATCCGCTTTCTCATCTATGGATTACCATCTTCGCCTTCAACTTAACGCCTAGGAAATTTCTCTGATCTGTTTTTGGATGCGTTGATGAACAACTCATTTCTCAGTTCGGATTACTCCGTTAGTAGTCGACCGTGTGATTTCTCATCCTCTCTTTTTTTGATCAGCGATTTGAGGGGAGGTCTCTTGCAACCACTAATCTTTCGCGTCGTTACTGTTTGATCTATGTCTCACGCTTTTTTCCTATTTTCACAAATCGCTTAGGCTCGTCGCTTGCACCACACTTTATCTGGTAACATAATGTCCGGATTCCACCTCAAATCAGAGCACTTTAGCAACAAACTCCGTTTTGGCTGACGTTTGTTTTAGAACGCGCCAGTTTTTCGTCTGCTAGCACTGTGCTATAGGCGATCAGAGCTCATCCCAATCGATAAGCGATCTCTATTGTGTAAATATTTCGATCGTATCTAATCTGGCTACATTTCTTCTTGGCTTGAATTCTTCATGTGGCCAACTTGCAAGCATCCGCTGTAGATAGGCGGTTCTCTAAGCTCTCTTCTTATGAAACCTAATGGACGGAGACATCAGTAGTAGTTCGGTGCGTCTTGCCGATAATCACCATCGCGCACGGGCTAGGGATACCGCTAGTTTACTCGCACTTACGCATTTTAATCTAGTGGACAGGAAGCTACTTCGTTCTGCAATCGGTGCAGTGACATTCGTCATTGCTATGAAACCTTGGAATATTTAGTATCGGTCCCTGAAATAGCCAATTTTCGTCTGCCTCAGTCACATACTACCCGTTAATATCCAGAGTTTGCGCACATGCCTGCTAGGCGACCACCGGTGAAATTGTGCCGTTAGCCGCAGTCTGATTAAGGTAGCTGGATAGCGTGCCATGCGTGCACACTCTGTTGTGTTGTGTAAGTCTAGCTTTTGCTTTGGCAATAAAACTTTGGAATTAAATTCCCTAAAATGACGATCTCAATTCATAGGTATAATATATTAAATCAATAAATCAACAATAAATTTTTATTCTCGGCTACGCGAGGCACGCCAATAAAGGCCTGATCTCAGTAATAGTACAACATTTTATCAAGAAATATGCAATAGTATAATAGGATTTTCATAGATGTGGACCCATAAATATAGGTATGTAGGTAGGTGCGTTGCTTGTGTTTGTAAACGTGTCACTGTTCTTTTGAATGACTTGCGTCACCGGTGTGTGAAAAAATCTTTGCCTTCTGCGGATTTGATAGGCTTGTCAGCGTAGGCTTGAACAGCGACACATTTTTGCGCATAATAGTTGGCTGGTAGCTCTCCGGAACGATGTCCATCCGTTACCGCTGACTAAGCCGGCGTGCCGTTGTCTTTTTCTCTATTTTCTAATATATTGCGACATCATAATTGCGGTAATTTCCAACTAGCTATCCTGTATAATGATACTGACGATGATTAGGAATTAGATTGATTTAGCGCATTTCGTTTCATCCCACACGCTACGCTATACCTAAAATGTAGCAGTTTCTTTGACTCGGTCGTTTTTTTTACAGAACATGTTAACAGGTCACTCAACTTCGTAAGGTATGCATGTCCTTTTAGAGATCAAGACCTGTCTTCGAGGTTGCAATGAGCGATATAGTTAGAACACTGCATCGCTAGGAATGGTCATTACGAGCGTCATGACCTGCTTTATCTCCACTTGCTTAGCCGCATTACGTCCGATTTCGAGGATCCTTTAGTGATTTGCTCAATTTTGTAGATATTGGAACGATATCGACTGCTTTTGCAGCGCTTCACGTATGGTTGCTTCGTTCGCACTCTCTTATTTCGCAATCGCTTTGCACTGCCAGCTTTACACACAGTACAGGGACTTACAGCCCGACGATGTTACAGAATCACTAATGTTTCTCTCCCTTCTCCTGTTCCCTAAAGACCCCACTTTGAAGCGCATCTGCAGCGGTTGGTTCTACAAGATGTGCGAAGTAACCACTTGGATCCAAGCTGGGTGTCAATTTTGATCGCTTTAGCCCATGATGTATGCGACCTGGTCCGCTTTGATCTTCGTTCACCTGGATTTCGATCATTTGCGCCCACACACACTCCTGATTCCCGAAGAGGGGAACTCGGTATGTGTAAATCGGCTGTTTCTCGGCCCACAGTTTACTCTCCAATGGATATCCGCTATTACGTGCATGTGAAAAAGGTAAATTTCTTACTTTCAGTGTACTTCACTTGTTTGTATTATTATGATATCTCAAACAAAAACATGACACGATACATGCGACGTTTTTAGTAGTAGTGGTAGTAGTAGTAGTAGTAGCAGTAGTAGTAGTAGTGATAATTTTCAGTCAAATCACAATTGCCATAGTCATAATTGTCTTTCCTAATTGTCATAGTCTTATAGTCTTGGTCATTTATGGGAATCAGTTTTCTTAGTTGACAAGGCAACACATTTCGGCTACTATACCGCAATAAAAGATAACGAAGCCTTTTCTTAGGTTTACACACGCCATTTTTTTAATTTTTTCCTTTTTAATCGTTTTTTGTTTCTAGTCCTCATTTTCTGTTTGCACGCAGCACTGATGCACAATGCACTGCGAAGCAAATGGTACTGACATCAGCAGTCGGGGCATTCGGAGGGTTGTAGATGCATCACACAAGTAAATGAGGGGAAGTGCGAGTGACAAGTAGGCACAAAAAATCCAGTATGTTTTCCAGCTCATGATGGTCAAGAGGCATCGCTGCGAATGTTCGCTGCTTATATATTGTATCCACCAAGTTTCAGCGACGAGGATTTCACTTGGAGTGCTCAGCTGCGCAATCGTGTTTAGACAAGGAACTCTCTTGTCAATACATTTCGCATTGGTCAGGAGTAGGAAAAACCGTATGCGCGTGTTTGCAGGGTTGTTGAGAACATGATTTAGGATTGAAAATTCGCATGGGGTTACAAACTCGGGGATGTAGAGAATGAATACAGATGTTAAGAGGCAGATGCAATCTCTAATGCAATTAAACAAGTGGTTGGGCTGTCGGTCGGGATCACCGGTATTGCTGTTTGCAAGTAGAGGGTTGATTCATGAAGACTGAGGTGTTTCTGCCTTGGTAGTGTTTCATTCGTGTCTTGTGTACAAACTGCTGGAACAGTGAAAATATATTGTTCGCTTCTTTTGGATGTATCATTAAAGGGGGTTGTGGTACTACTCCGGCATCTGATAAAACTTGGTTGTGCCTCGGTTGCATAATGTGTGGGGTCATGCGTGTTTGGATTAAGGCAAAATGTGCTGTTCACCGATGTTCAGTAATCTTCAGGTAGTCATTTTCTTGTTTACGGTTGTAGCATTCCGAAGGCGATCAATGTGTTACCGGAGCCCGTCCATAACAGCCATGGAAGCCAACTCTCTCTCTGCCTGGAGCAGCCCGGAGTAGATTGGTTGTACACCGTCTGTAGCCCATCGGCTAACCAATGGGAGTAAGCCAACAGCATCGTTTTACTTTGAAGTGGACCAACCAGAATGATTTATTGAGAAATAATTCCCGGGGACGACATCAGAAACAGAGGGTACGGAACAATCTTGTTTTCAGGGCTTCATCATCAGGCTAATACAACCATAATAAAGCAAGCTAGAATAGACACAATGGATTTAAATGCGGTCACTGAAGTAGAGTTACTAATCGATAAGTCTACGTGCTTGGTCTGGTTGAGGCGTCGTCGGGTAAAGTGGCGTGATAACTATTGTTAATCGCGTCGGTCTGAGCCCAAGGCAGGTTTAAAGTATGGACAGGTTTTTCTGTGCACATAGGTCCGGGTTATAGAGCCGAATTGCGATCGCCTCTACTGCTGACAGCAAGCGACACCTGACTGCCCGTGTGTAACGTCAGGGGACACAGTAGATCGGTGTGAATGCGTCATGCGAATTGATTTGATGGTCGGAGTCTACCAGGTGCGTCACTACTGCACTCGTTACATTCTTCCTCGCGCCACTGTAGACCCAAGCTGGGCAATGTTCTCGAGCCCTAACGGATAGTTGCCTGGTTGTTTTCCCAATATACCTTGTTCAACACCGTCAAGAGAACTTGTACACACAGAAGGAGGTCTGCGACCGAGGTATCCTGTCGTTAAGTTGTTGGCGCACAATCGGTGTTGTGGTGAAGCCTACGCGGAAATTAGCAGCAAAATACATTCTCTCTGTTGTTAAGGCAAGTCTTCGGGTGGTCCGTTCCGCTATCGCGTCACCCTTAAATGGTAACGATAAGTATACCATCCGCTTCTCTTCGGAAACGGGTTCGAGCTTTTGTACTCGGGTCACCTGGAACTGCCAGTCCTCCAGTAAGCACACTACTTGTCCAGCCAACAAGCGAGTTTTTGCGCATCTACTAGTTGCTATAGTCAGGAGCTTGCAATTGGGTCTTTTCTCTCATGAACTCTTTCGATTTAATATTTTGGCTGTGCATTCTGTCTCCCGAGTGCTCCATACAAGTTCCGCCAGAGGTCTTTGTCTTCTGATTTGGAAAGTGACTGTATCGTGACCAGAGTGGCTGCATTGGTTATCCGTACTATCAGCGGAAACAACACAATTCTCAGTCTATGTGGTTTTGTACATTGTTTTTTTGGCAACGCTGCACAGTACGGTACCTGCCCTGCAGTCTAACTCACGGGCATCTTCACTCTGAATGTCATAATTGTCCCAATTTGTTACTCTTGTAGGCGCAGGTCAACAATTGGATCTTGTTAGTGCCACAAGTAGCAAGTATGTGCACTGGTGACAATGTGACCAGATTGATAATTTGTGTTTAGTTTTAGTGTCTGCAATCTCCCATGTGCACATTCTTCCGTATGCGCCATCTTCCATGTGCGCAATCTTCGGGTGCACTTTTATGTCGGTGCGCTTTTGCTGTCCGCAATTTTCCTGTGCGGTTCCTTCGTGTGCACCTTCATTTGGTCACCGGAAACAAGGCCGTCTCGATGCTTCTGCGTGAGAAGCTTACACTTAACAGAGAGAAAGAGAGAAACATCACCAACTGGCGATGGATCCGCAATTGATAGTAGGCCAACAACAGTATCTCAGCGAGGGATGCACACATGAAACTGAGAGATAATGAATGGCTAACGGCAACTCGTGTATCAAAAAAGAACAGACAAATATCCGTTTGTGATTGTAACAGTTAGCAATGACAGGAGGAACACAGCCACCCCCCTCCCGATATGTTTTGTAGAAACAGCGGAAAGCTGTTCCAGTAAATCGCACTCGCCTCTATTATTTCTAAGATTCGGAATGGTCAATTGCACTGAAGTCTCATCGGGTTTCAGAACAGGTGAAGAGTATCGGGGACGACTGTGGTGTGATTTTCTCCAATTATAGGCGTGAATAGTCGTCGAATAGGCTTTCATTAGATCTTCGACAACCTACGTCGGGTGTTTTTCTCTTATGCGTTCACGAATACCGCCAACAGTGCGGGCAGTGACACGTAACAAAGAAACAAATGAATTATTATGCAGAAAAAGGGGCTACCACAACAGACAGTTTATTCGTTAGGCAGACGATATGCAATACGCTGTATTTAAATAGAAACTGTAACTGTCAGATCTTAAATAATGTAGTTCTTCCCACTCTACTTGTTCCGCTGTTGTTGTCAAGTACAAAAATATTTTGAATGAAAGAAATAAAGCAGCAATTTTTATCCGCCACTAGGTGCTTTGGAGATCCGAGCCTATCCCTATGCTCGATTGTATGAATAAGTCAGAATAACGATAACTGACCAACGGATTTCGCGTCAATAGGCGCTGCAGTTCGATCATGTCCCGCTAGCACCCCTTATTGGCCATGATAAAAATGGAGCGAAGGAGATTTCCTTAGATCGAAGTGACACAAGGCTAGCAGCATGAGTGTAGCGATTGTTGACGGACTTTGCGTTCAAAGTAGACATCCCTAGGTGACAAGTAAAAGTTCAAAAAGGAGAGTCCATACGACAATGTTGTCTTAAATGCGAAACTGATTTTCGGTGGTTTGCATGTAACGTCGCCAAACGTCGTAGTGAACTACAAATCTGGGCGTCACAAGTAGCAAATCATCTCAGTAGCGCCAGTACGCAATGAGCTTTTCGATACTTGCACGCAGTATCGTCGTTTCCGAGGACGAATCCAACACAAATCCAGCCGATTCGCATGCACCGAGTTCACCACTTCGGAGATCAGTAGTGTGAGTTTAGGCCCGAAAGACCGGAATCCCTGTCCAAGGGGACCAATTCGCACATTAAAACTGAGATCCAGCTTGGATCCAAGTGGTTATTTTGCGCATTTTATGGAACCAAACGCTGCGGATGCGCTTAAGATTGTGTCTTATACACTTGCTTCATCTGAGTAAGGGCGAGCGAACCCGCAGTATCCCAGGTCCCAGTGCGACTGGTGACGGTCGTGTGGTAGCGAAGCGTCGGCACGCTGCACCGATGTACTGCTGAAGCATTTCTCATTGTCCACTAGGTTAAATTAACAGATATAGAAATAAAATGCCTTCTCCCACACTGGATTTCCTTTATGTATGAAGGGCGTGGGAAACGGTTCGTCTTATTTAACCTAGTGAACGAAGACAAATGCATCAACTGTATATCGGTGCGGTGTGTGACGTTTCGCTACCACTTGGTCACTTGACCAATAAAATATTGGGAGAGGGCCGCAACACATGAGTAACAACAACAATAAGGATGAAAAGAAGCTGTCAGGGAAAAGTCATGTGGGTTCATGTGTTGTGAGTGCAGTGAGCTTCCAGGCTATCCAGATCGAGTAAAAGGGTTGACCTAAGGGACCCTACCCCGAGCATGTGGTCGTAAAGACTTGACCCGAAATGCGGCGGGGTGATTCACGCATGTTGCACAAAACGAAGACTGGTGAGTGATAGGTGGCTCATTCGACTTTTTGTGTTCTATTGCAGTCCACATAAAAGCCGGTAGACAGCAAGGTTGTTCATCCGCCATCCGTTATGCACGTAATTCTGCTTGCTGAAGTCAGTGATCAGTGACCGTATAGCCCGTCAGACTGGCTATGACACGTCACCGCACGACCTCTTGTGGTATTTGACGTGGAATCAGGTGGCCGGCCTAGAACTTCTCACGCTGTGAGACGCTGCCGCTGATGGTCCACAAATGGTTATTCATTTCGCCGCCAAGGCAAACGAGTGTTATTCGCAGTTACCTCCACAAAGAAGGCATTCCCCAATATGTAACCTAGGGCGCCGTCGGGATATCTCCTTTGGCAAAGAGTCGTGTTTACAATCCCATCGTTCAGGTGGTGTTGCTATATGGAAGCGGGTTATGGCCAGTTTGTTTAGATGACATGCGCCGGCTCTCCGCCTTCGACAACGGGTGCATGAGGAGGATTCTTGTGGGTTTGGTGGCGACAACACAACTGCAACATTGAAGTCAGACGTCGTGTCTTAGCAAATGCGAGTATTCTCTTCAACAAGCTGGTTTTGTTACGCCAGTTAAGATGACTCGGTTCCGTTATGCGTATGTCAGCTGAGCGTTTGTCCTATCGCACTCTGTTTGATCATGCAGGACTCAACTGGAGAGACCACGCGGTGGTCCACCATCAACCTGGCGACAGCAAATGAAAGCGTTGATTGCACGTCTAGAAAACATTGGATCCACAAGTCCGCTTGATTGAGGACAAAAGTACAATGAGTGACGATGGCTGGAAACAATTCAGGAAATGGCTCATAAACGGAACTCAGAGCATCTGTGCACATAATTGCTTAGAATTTTATGTTCAATAAAAACGATTAAAAATAAAAAAAATGGCGTATGTAAACCTAAGAAACGGCTTCGTTATCCTTTACTGTGGTATATTAGCCTAAATGTGTTGCCTTGTCAACTTAGAAAACTGATTCCCATAAATGACCATGACTATAAGACTATGACAATTAGGAAAGACAATTATGACTATGACACTTATGAGTTGACTGAAAATTATCACTGCTACTACTACTACTACCATGAATCTTACCTCAAACAAATTGCTGATGCTCTGGCCACCGCAGAGGATAATCTACGGTGCCCTATCTGCTGCATCGAGCAGGGTAGATAGGGGTTTGGATGCTACTGCTCAAGCCTTCCTGTCTTCTTATTCCCCCTCTTACGCTTTTTCACTCTTACCGTCCCCTTCCAACTTCACTTATATCCCCCCAGTTTTCAACCCCCCGATTCTTGGCCTCCCCCAACTTGCTTTGCTAGACATTTATCTTCTAATTTCAACTCACATGTGAACGCGGAGCGTCACTCCTCTCCTGTCGACAAGCCCATGTCCAACCAAGCGGTCCATTCCAGTTCATCGACTTCCATTTGGAACCCTCGATCCTCCTTCAGATTGGCATGCCTCGATGTACGCACATTGCTTCAGATCGGTCAACAGTCAGCACTTGCCTGAACATGAGAGACCCTCTCGATCGATATCTGCTGCTTATCGAAGGCCCGCCTGCAAGGCTCGAACTCTGTGTTTACTCTGCGATCCCCTTCAGGTGACACTGGCAGCACTTTCTCATTGCGCCTATCCGGTGACGATGTAGCTTCGGGCACCGATCAAGCCGGTGTTGATATTGCTCTGAGTCCTCGGGCTGAAACTACTCTGGTTGATTGGATTCCAATTAGTAGTCGGATGTGTGCATTCCGATTGGCTGGCTCGTTCAAAGCTTCCAAGTCGCGTGAGACTAACAGGTGTCTATACGCTATCGCTGCTTATGCACCGACAAACTGTAGCGATGACTCGGTAAAAGACGATTTCTATGGTCGACTGAACGAGCTCCTTCGCCACAGAAGCAGCTCGGACACTGTTGTGCTGGCTGGGGATTTGAGCGCTCAAGTTGGAAAATTATCCAATGATGCACTGCATCTGGGCGGCCAACATGGTGTAGGCTCCCGTAATGATTACGGTGAGCGGTTACTTCATGTGTGTGAGGATGCTCGCTGATTTCTTGCGTGCACTATTTTCCGACACTGCACCCTCCGGAGGGTGACTTGGTGCCCACCAGCTTCAAACCAGCTATTTACGCAAATCGATCACATCGCTACCGCTGGAGAGTCTGCGTCCAGAACTGTCGCTCGATTTGGAGCACATGTGTGGACACCGACCATGCACTTGTGTATGCTGACATGCGGTTGCGTTTTGGCGAACGCCCACGACGACGTTGTGACCGCATTGACACCAGCCAACTGGCGAAGCCAGCTGTTCTAAATGCCTATCAAAGTACGCTATCATCCGAGTATGCGCTCACTGGTCTCATATTCACCTAACCTCATTAGCAGCAGGAAAATCCTCATGTGGTAAATCTAACCGCCAACCTGGACGTTGGATCTCTTCGCGGTCTCTGGAGCTTAGCAATGCCCGCCGGCATATTCCGGCTGGGTGCGAACACAATGAAACTCGCAAAGAGTTCCGGGCAAAACTCCGTGCTATCCTGAAGAGAGACCGCGAATCCTGGTGGTCTCGTCGTGCAACAGAGATGGAAATGGCCGCTGCATTTGGTAACCATCGTAAGTTATTCCGTCTGATACGGGAAACGGGCAGCAGGAGACCTGTTGTTAGTAAAACTACACGTGACGAGAGTGGACAGCCTATCCACAATTTGTCAAAACGCTTGGAGCATTGGGCTGAGTATTTTGAAAGGCAATTTAATCGATCGTAATTGTTAGATTTCTCGTCAGCTACTCATCGCCCCGCTCCGTAGGCTGTCCCTTTGGATCCACCCTCTCACTCAGAAGTCGAACGTGTAATCGGATTGCTAAAGTTGAATAAAGCCGCGGGACTAGATGATCTTCGTCCAGCCCTCATCAAATTCGGGGGTCCTTCTCTTGTGAATTATTTATACGAGTTCCTAGTGAAACTGTGGGAGCAGGAAACTGTCCCAACCGACTGTAGACGTTCCGTCATAGTCCCAATTTTCAAGAGAGGCTCTCGATCGTAATGTGGCAATCATAGTGGAATCAGTCTGATCTCCATGGCCTTCAAATTGCTTGTCTCCTTAATGCTCCACAGACTGACTGGCACTCGTGAAAGCCAGATTCGTGAGGAGCAAGCCGGGTTTCGTCGGGGTCGTGGTTGCATTGACCACATCTTCACTTTGCGTCAGTTGTTGGAGCACCGTCACATATATTAGCTGCCCACCCTTGTCGTGTTCCTCGACATTCGATTCGATGGAATGACGTGCACTTTGAGACTGTGTACTCAGAAAAGGTGTACTTGAGAAATATGTGAATATTATCCGAGCATTATATGCGCGTAGCTCGGGTAGAGTGAGGGCTTACGGCAAGCTGTCGTCGCCCTTTAATATCTCCAGCGGTATAAGACAAGGATGCCCGCTGTCACCTTTCCTCTTCGACTTCGCTGTTGACGAAGTCATGGAAATCGCGTTCACAGGACACGACTTGGAAGGTGTGGATCTGCTCCCAGGAGAACGACTTCTTGCCTTAGAGTATGCTGATGATATTGCCCTAATCTGTGACCACTCACAAACGTGCCAAGCGGCACTGGACAGATTAGCACTAGCTGTCCGTCACTTCGGGCTTTGCTTCGCACCCTCGAAGTGCAAAGCGTTCCTCCGAGATTGGTCTGGACCGCCTCCTACGCTGACCCTTGGTGGTGATCAGCTATAAGTCGTTCAAAAATTCAACTACCTGGGAAATCGTATCATCGCCCTTGGGATTGAAGATGAGATCACGAACCGTATAGCAAAAGCTTGAGGCGCTTTTGCTAACCTTCGCTACTTATGGCGCCGGCGCGATATCACTCTCGCCGTGAAGGGTAGAGTATACAATGCAGCTGTACGTTCGACCCTACTATACGGTTGTGAAACCTGGCCCCTTAAAGCAGCGGACCTGAAGAGGCTAGTTACGTTCGACCACCGGTGCCTTCACAATTTAGCACACATTTGGTGGGAACACCGCGTGAACAACGAGCGTGTTCAACGCCTTGTTTACGGCACCAGAAAAGTTAATGAACCGCTCAGCACCATTATTTCACGCACCAGGCTCCGATGCCTGTGCCACGTGTTACAAATGCCAGTCTACCAACTCCCTCGACGTGCGTTTGCGCGCCGGGGAGGTGGATGGAAAAAGAGGAGAGATGGCCAAGCGATGACTTAGTCGAGAGGAATGAGGGCCCTCACTTCGAAGCTGGCCTCGGTTGGCCCGTCTCGGCTCCTTGGTTGGGTTCCGAAAGACGATGAACACGTTTGGCTGGATACACTTGTTGACGTGGCTAGGAGCCGACCTCAGTGGCGTTCGTGTTGTGAGTTTCTTTGTCCCACCCCATCCTTCTTAGCCTCCCCTTCCAACCACGATCTCACTATTTAGCTTCATATAACTTTGCATGGTAATTATTTTTTGCTGCATAGTAGCCGGCTGGTAGCTTACCGGAACGATGCCCATCCGTTACCGGTAGCACAGCTGGCTTCCGCCTGTTGCATTTTTTTCTCCTTTTTCCTTCTTTTTATTGCTATGGTGTTTCCCACCTCTAGCTAACGTGTATAATGCTGATGATGAATGGGTGACTCAATTCCTCTGGCTTCCTTTTCCGCATTTGGTTATCTCTCACCCAGCACTCCTCCACTGCTCTTCAATTGATCCCGTTTATAATGCACAAATGGGCAATCTCGTTTTATTGTAGATTTTTCTCTCCATTTCATTCAGTTACCGGACACCACTGGTTGCCCGTCGGATGTGTATCCTGGAGTGGCCTTCACCAAACGGACGACTCACAAATTCCTGCCTAGTTTGTTAAAAGATGCACGGGTGCTTTTGCTCGCCTCATGCATTGACTATCAACGCGCTTCGGCTAAAATGGTTTGGCTCGAGTCACAGATCATGCAAGTGAGTTTCGTTCAATGCGTGATTTGTTCCGATGTATATACTATGGGTAGCAAGTGTGGAAAGATCCACGGGTGTGTGCAAATCAACTGCTTTTGCCACAATATTGCTTTGTAGATATCCCTTTTCATTGCAGGTCATTATGAAGAGGTACTTGGTTTTAGCGTATTTCTCTCCCGTCAATGCACTGCGCGACCGGAATGTCACTGATTCGGACTCTTCGTGTAGTTTACAAAGGGATAGTATAAGGATATGCACGGTATATGTAGAAACTCATCACTCTAAACTCACAGATAGCCATCACTGTACGGCAGTTTCATTCTTTCGAGAATCGTCAACAGTGCACATTCCATCTGCCTTCTGTGAGGCTCGAACCCGTAACTCGAGTGTTGTCAGTCTGTGGTTGCGACTGCTGAGCTACGTGGCACGGTAACGACCTTCATGCTTAAGTTGCTTGAGGTGATAGAGCACCACTCACTTCTGTAGATAGTGACAGTTGAAGCTTCGATTGGATCCACCGGCACATGGTGCTGACGGTTAATACCATGTTCAATAAGCCATTGATTTCCGCGAGCAAAAGAAGACATCAGTAATACGCCGGTACGTAGTACCGACGCTTCGCTGCCGCGCAGCCACCACTGCTCGCACGTAAGCTAACGATACTGCGAGGGTCACCCTACTCCTATGCAGGCTCGAATCCTCTACCTTTTAGGCTACGGCAGCGATTGACAGACGCTTCGTGTTTCTCCGGGTACAATGAGGCGTCTCGCTACATGTGTTCAAGAGCGATGAAGTCGCTTAACTTTTAACGGAAATGACGTTACGATTTGCTCTTCACATACGTGCTTTGATGCTCGCTGCGATACTACCAGCGATATTTTTCGTTTTGGAATCTGTTTACAAACAATTGCACGGTGCAGTTACCTTTCACAAACAACTACCTGCACTCCTCGGTAGTTTACTGCCGACCACACACCACCCACTCTCAATTTAGATACAGCGGTTTGTTCTTCCACTACAAACGCGCATTACGCCAATTTTTTCTATCCTCATCACAATACTGCTGTACTGATGACAACTTCTATCCTAATGTTCCATGATTCATCTGATGTTTCTTGTGCTGGTTTTTAGTATTTATTGTTGATGATACGGCTTTCGGCTCTGCGGCCTGCAGCGCAGCCGCAACGCCATACACATTTATCTTCTAGCTCTCATAGTAGATATGTCTTTGACTTTCTCTTGGGTTTATGCCGAAATGGTTGTGGGTCGCAACCGATTGTGTAGGCCTGTAGAGCTCCCCGTCCTTGAAACCCCCGTCGTTTGTCTTCGCAATCGTAAAAAGCTGTACTACCTCCTCTACTCTGCAATCTGACCGTCCTTGCTTTCCTCCATTTTTTTCATTTTCCTTAACCTAGGAAGAAGAGTATCTTTCCAACTGTGTCAGCCGACTTCTATGCTTTCATCCAAATCTGCTCATCGTTGGTGATACCGTCAGTCACACTGCGCAGATGATGCTAGTCAAAGCGGGTATCACTGTACTCTGCAATGTGAAGCGAGTAAGTACACTTTGTTTCCCTTCCACTTGGCAAACCTCGTGGCATGCGTTGTTTGCTTGATTACGTTTGTGCATCAACTACCTATTCGCATTCATTCATTCTTACCTCGATTGGCACTTCGTTCTAAATATATGTTAACAGTGAGTTGACTACTCTTGTGGATCTCCTAGGCACATCATCTACTTCAGCATATCAGTCTATTGAGTGTACTGTCTTGACCACCTATCGTATCGTTGGATAAGGTCTAGAGCAAATTCAACGTCACGGACTTGATTGGTCTCCCTTTGTCAGACTTACCTGTTCCGCTCTTATCCTGGAGATTCTGAGTAGTTCCCATTGGGACCTGTGCTCTACACTTACATTCCCACTGGATTCACACGCTGTGTCGAATTTTACTTTTTAACACAAGCTGGACTGTTCGGACAGTAGTTTCTTTCTTTTTTTGCATTGGGTAATCTGTTCCGTTTCTATTCTGCGACTGTCTAACCACACGCTTCCTCTCGTCTCTTTCTTGGCTGACCTTCAAAACATTACTTTCGATAGTTCACGTACGTTGTTAGTGTCTCATATTGCACTTAGGGTTTAACCATAAAATAGGCGATAAGCTCCATCCGCCCTATTGCTGTTGTGTCATGGTGTTTTTATCAATGTCAATCTCTCTTGCATCTTCTACAGTCCGTTCTGCTGCGCATCGCTCGTGTGACGGGTGCAGACATTATCGAATCAGTGGATCGCCTAATCAGCGAAGTTCCGACGAAGTCTTCAAGTGTTGCGCGCGTCGCACCGCAGTTGGGATACAGCCAACACTTCGAAGTGAAACCGGTGCGTCTGTCGCATGGTAAGCACTGAGTCAATCCCCTCATTTCGTTTGCTTTCCTTCTTTCTGTTCCTGCTATAGGTATTTGACAAATTAATTTTTAGTCATAGATCATCTCGGTCACTTTCAGTCAGCAGGCTTAGGCTAGCCTGGAAATGTACCAGACACCGGTGTTTCGACCGTCTGGGTCTCGTCAGTGGTGCGCCTTCCAGCGGACCCCTGTCGCGATCCGCCCCCATGACTTCCGGATGCCAACAGCTAGTGCCATTTCGCCCTGGATGACAGCCGCGGACCTACATAATTGATAATTGGCTGTGATATAGCGTGGCTCGTCTTCTACTGCCATGCCTGCGATGTACTGTGCAGATGGCAGCGGCTAGCCCCACAAAATAGGACTATCTGCATAGCGCTCTGGTACAGTGCAGGGACCTAGAAGCTATCGGACAGATTTATATTACTAATGAGTAGTGGTTATTTGGAACGCTTAGAGATAGTTCATCACGGCCACTCTCAGTCAACTCACAACATCCCGCTGTATGCAACCACCCTAATGAAGTGTGATCATATCAGGTTTTACTTAAATTCGGTCAATACTGCCGGATTCCCGCTATCAGCGTTCGTGCGATCGGATTGTTGTCTTCATTACTACCCCGTCTTCTCTGGTACGAATGAAGATGGCGGGGGCTTTTCTCAACACCTTAGGAAGAGAGCTACCTCAAGTGTGTCTATAGCGCGTGGCTTTGGTGCCACATTTATGTGTGTCCTTTCCACAGTGAATCGTACTTCACCCGATTAACTGCTTTCACAGTTCAACGCACTTACTAAAGTCCGATTTAGCAGCTATTTTGAGCTCTTTGAAGGATACTCTCCGTCCCATCGACCAACAGGCTCAAAGTCACTGTGCTATTTTACTGAATTATATAGTCCTACCTGTTGTAAAACGAAAGTAGCGGTTCTTTAATCGGTTGCCTTTTCCTCTATTCCCTTGAAGCGTTGTCCTGTTTTTCATATTTCTTCATTTCTAACTACCTCTCTGTTCCGAACATTTGTACTAGAGAAATGATTTGCACTACCTGCGCACCATACACGGACTGTGCACTCCTGGTGTGCACCCCCTACTGTTTCACTGGTTCTACCTTTCAGGTGGTGTTAAATTCTTGAGTTACATCAAAAATTTACAGAACGCTGACGCTTTCGCCTCCGCGGACAAAATCTCTGCTCCATCTGGTACACCAAGATACACCACGGGTGAAGCCACTGTGATATTACGAGGTCCCGATCTGGCTGCCCTCAAACGGGCTAAACGGTGCTTTCTTTTTGCTCTATGTGCGTGTTCCAATATGCGTATGGAGATGCAGTACGCCCTGAGCGCATTCATGTATCGACCATCGCGCTCACTGGGACCCGATTTCACATCTCCTTCATTTACTCAGCCAGTCGACTCTTTGAGAAGCTCATCACAGCGAAAGTCCAAGGTACTTCCCGTAGAACATGCTTTATTTGCCATTTTGTACTGGTTTTTTAAAGTTTTACTCGAGAAGTTTTCGTTATTAAACTGATTGAATGTCAGTCTTAATCACCTCCAATGTCTAAAATGTATGACTAAATCTACGCGTGTACAAGTTTAAGATGAGACGCCTCACTGCTCGGCCCTCAGCCTGTGCTGTGACCAATCCTCACTAACAGTACTTCTTCCATTTGGATTGCTACAATATGGAACTGATTTTCTGTTCACTCCTAGCTGCATCTCATCCATTTTGCGAGGCTTAATCATGAAATTTGTCCAACCGCTGCCTGCCGGACGTTTAGTCCGTGTGTGTGTTGCTCTGAGTGGCTGGCACATCAGTACCTTTGACCAGAAGAAAGCGCACACGAAGGAACCGCACACCTAGATTGCAAACAGCAAAGAGCACACTGACATAAAAACGGACACGAAGATTGCGCACACTAAAAGTGAACACATTATCGCAAGCTGTTAACATGCTCACATATGACCGTATTATTTATGTACTTTGCTTTAATTAGGAATTCACCTCGCATAAAATGATCTACTGGCATATTGCTTGTAGTGACTACGGGACACTAAGACTTATCTTCGGTATCAGAATATACTTCACACCATAGCCGCTCATACAACGTTATATCCGGGGGGGGGGGATTATTGGGCACATCTCCAACGCTTGATCCGATCTTAAGATCTAGCTGTATTTTTCCTCTTCGCAAATTCCTGCTTAGCGCTTTAACAATTCCAGCCATCACGGCATAACCCACCTTGCCCCGTAATATAGACATTTTACCATTGGCTTTAAGGATATAGACAAACTTTGACTCATATTGAAGGGGTATAAGTTATTAACGAGATTCCACAAAATTGTATACCTCGCAATAATATTACAGCCGCCCGAATGGACAAGTATGACTACCCATGCATGTCTAAACGAGTGTGAATCGTGACTGAAGACTTCCGTTCTCGGTTCTGCTTGCTACTGTGTCCCACAGGTGAACAGCCACACAGGATGCCTGCGCTTAATGAGTGGTGTGCACTATATGATTGTTGCATTGTTACTTATGGAGTACTCCCGAAATCAAAAACGCAACCTAGTTTTGACATACTTGAGGTTTGAATACCTGCTTTCCACACTATCGAATGAGTGGTAACTTGGAGATGCAGGCAAAACCGAGGTGTGAAATGTTGTCACCCACCGATGAAGACAGGAGACGGCATCATTTCGCAACAGTCGACTGCGCACTGTCATAACTTATGTCCTCAAAAAGCGGAAACAAATGCTTCACGAAGACACATGAATCTGGACATGATGGCCGTCAGTGTTACACCTCGTAATGTTATAGAGAATGTGTTGTCTACACTGAGTAGTGGAGCTTTGGCCCACTTGCCCAAACAATCATCCATTGCAAGATCTCTTCTGAGTGACCGAAAAAGCGATCATTTGTCTTGTCCAACAGGCACAAATTTTGCTATTCCTGTGCAGTACTCCGAACTAATTCTACATGATTCAGGTATGGATGATCCAGAAAGGACTTCTGTGTTAGCTGATAAGGAACTTAGATTTGAATTGTGCACAGATACCATATGGGGGGACGGCACTTCTGATAAAGTTCCCAGCACGTTTTATCTGCCGTATACGTGACACGCTAATGTGGGCATTGCTTAAGTGGACACTTTTCCACGTGCGCATCTCATTGATGAAAACGCAGTCCAGATAAACTCGTACTTTTTTGCGTACACAAGTGGTAACACTTTCAAACGGCACTGTTGATTCGTGCGTACCAGGGTTGTGAAAGTATCAGCGCGCGTCGCGGCAACACGAGGGATCGTAAGCATTTCGATAGCTTTCCATAGGGTCCCTCATTTTTGACTCAAATTAGACATATGGTGTAAACGGGATAACTGCTTGCGTCCTTACCTGGATATTTGCCAGGTACCTAGTAAACTGGTCGCTTGTCAGAGCTTTTCGTCAGTGAATAAAGTGACTTCTCAGATGAACGAACAACATCGTCACAAAGGCGTCCGTAAACAAAACCGGTACCTACCGATTAGCAGTTTCCAATTCACGTGAAGGAATGATTGTACTAGCGACTTATAAGTAGTCCATTTCCGTTTGACATATTTGTGAATAAGCGGCATCCACTTCATTGCGACTTCGTTTTTGGTACTTTGTGCGCGGAACCAGGTTTCAGTCATAAAGTTGAGGTCCCACGCGTATGATACCTATGATATCAGTAGTGGGTCGGATGACGTGTGAATTGGGTGTGCAATTGCGCCGACCGCTGAGAGCTCGGTTACTAATCGTTTTTTTTCTATCTTATGCTGGCGACGCTTTGTGTCCTGAACAATCTCGTGCTTAAGGAATGGGGTGTGATCGCCAATTATGCAGGCTGGCTGAGTGTTGCCATCTGACTTGTTCCCCTTACTCGGTGCGACTTAGTTTGCTGCGTATGTTGGTTACTTGGAGGACGCTGCCTTGAGCCAGAGTTCAAAAAGCAGTCTACTACGAAGTGCATACCAGAGTTCTAACAATTACGCTTCTTTCTAGCTTGATTGAAGCATTTTCATACATTGTGTCTTGGTAAGCTAGGTGCTGGAGTGGAAAAATACAGCCTATTCAGAGGGTCGGCCCAAGCGTTGGAGATGTGCCCAAGTATTCCCCTCGGATACAACGTTGTATAAGCGGCTGTGGGGTGACCTTCATTCCGGTAATCCAGAGAACTGTTAATGTCTCATTATCACTACCAAGAATACTGGCCAGCGGTTCGTTTTTTGCGACGCGGATTCCTAATGTGAATATTAAGTAAAGTATACTGGTTGTCCTTTATTGTTTCGCAACCGTACGTGCAGAAGTATGTGGGCACCTTATTACATGATTCTACATTTTGAAATGAAGCGCAAGGATCATCAGACACTGCACTTATATCGACGAACGGGACAACGGTCAGTGCAGCCAGAGGCTAAACTTGGTGTTTCCGGCTGACATTGATTTCCAAGAAAGTCTTCAGGCTGACATTTCTTATGAGCCCTCGGCTCGGGTGAAAATAGCCAACTTCGATTTTAGCGTCATCAAAAGAATAGCAAGCGAAGGCAGAACATTAACTCGGCCTGCTGATACAGTAGGTTTTAGCCGCCGACTCTTCGAGACCTCAACTAACTGCGGTAGGCGAGCGATGCTTAGTCTGTGTAGTATTGTATATGGTTTTGCAACACTGCGCAGTACGGTACGTTCCCAGTGGTCGAACTAACGTGCCCATTGGGTATGAATGCCATAATTGCCACCATTTTCTACTTTTGAAGGCAAAGGCCAGAAATTGGATCTTGTAAGTGCCACAAATAGATAATATGGACAATTGTGACAATGAGACCAGATTGACAATATGTGTTCACTTCTAGTGCTTGCAATCTTCGTATCCGTTTTTATGTCCGTGCGCTTTTTGCTGTCCGCAATTTTCCTGTGCGCTTTCATCATGGAACCGTCAGTACTAAGGCGGTAATCTAAGGGGGCTGAATTAGAAAGACTTCCGTTTTCTAACTCCAATGCTGTATACTATGGAGAGCCTTCGAGTCCACAGGATTTTTTTGGCAGAGAAGGTGCTGCAGCTGAAGCACAGGGCGAACTTTCCCCCCCCCTCAACCGTAGATATATGCTAAATTCGGATCAACACGGCTTTTGATTACAATACAACTTAACTACGCTCAGTTGGACAGACGCCAAAATCTGTACGGCTGTCACGGAATTGTTTTTACGTTTTTTTGCTACGCGTCGGCGATGCGCATTCCGTCGCTTCAGGGCGGAGCTTTTTTGACCTAATCTGTGAACCTTTTAAACCTCAACACTTATCCCTTAGGTTTACATTTTAAGTTATTATAGAAAAGTGTGAGCGGATTTTATAATTTAATGTGCATCTTAGTATAGTTCAATGCTTGTGATGGTTTGCCTGCCTCCAAACGAGTGGGGGCGGATTCGTCCGGACATCATTGAGAGAGCGGCAAGGTCACAACGAGGCACTCAGTCCAACTACGCAGGTTTCGATGGCGACCGAAACTAATGCTGCAACAGAGAACCGGAAGCCGATCGACCACCATCCTTGCAAGCTGACTGGTGGTCGGATGGACTACACAGCCTTGATGCAGTCTAATATGGACTAAGTCCAGCGTTAACCCATATAAGGCCGGTCAGTATCGGACCGAACACAGTCAGTGAACAAGGTGTGCGTGCTAATGAATCGCAGCCGATGGAGTTGGACGGACGAGAACTAGCCAATGGAGAGCTGCTTCAAATGTATGCATGGTATATGTAATCCCCGCTGTTCCTGTACTGCTGATTTCGATCACTTCTCACAGATTTTGTGCTACACGGAGTGCTACACGAAACTGCTCATCGCGTATTCCATACTGCCAAGTCATCTCAGCTGAACACATTCATTCATTTAATCTATGCTTCCTTGTACAATGTATAGTCTCTGATGTACATGTTCTCATGCTTTGTTTTGTCATCCGGCTTGCATCCAATTCGCTTTTTTTGTGAGCGTTGTGTTGTTCATCCTCTTCTTCCATGTTTTTTTTTGACAGACCCCTGTTGAGTCACGATCAACACTGATGCATTATCTGTCCGGTCGTTTGTTCAATCTTTCTCCCGGTGTCCACTTGGCACTCCCATTTCTAACATTTGCAAACGAACAACAAGCTCCATTGGGTGCGTACTATACGTACATCGTCGAGTGGCCCTTTGGAAGAATACTGAATGATCTGTTGAAGAGAAAATTGAAGGCTAGTTTCATCTTAACTCTCTGTTTGTCACGGTTAATGTTTCATATAATTCATTTTTGGCCGGTATTCAACTGTATGCGGTTAGATGAACAACGCTTGCTAATCTGGCTCTTCCGAGCCATCAAACATGGTTGTATAGCCACTGCATATTTTAACCCGATGCGTTTACTACGATCCTAACCGTGCGGCAGCATGTCTCAAAATGAGGACTATCACGTGTTCTCACTATTTCATGGTGCTACGTGAAAACAGTTCCCATCGTGTTTGTCATTGTCTCCTTTTTCCACGTTACTTTCCAGGTTATCAATTCCAACTTATACGCCCTTGAACGAGAGAACCAGAATAGCTCAACCCAGTATACGGACTTGGCGGTTCTTCCAGAACAGCATGAATTCCTTAAGTGTAACCTCGTTTTTCAACCGTCCTCCCTGCTGCATACCTTGGAGAAACAGGTTCATAAGCGCTGTACATTCTCCGAATCGTGTATTGCGATGAACAAATCGGCCAACACAAACGCTTTACTAATGTCAGAGGTGATCGCGCCACAAAGTGAAGCACTGTATGTCGATTTCAAGGCACGCGCCTTCGCCCTGGCTACATCCGATGTCTCGCGAACCAATCGTAGCGTTCGTTCCACCATTATCAACGGGTTAAAGCATCTGATTTCGCTTCACGACAGTCCACCAATGGACGTTCGCGATAAGCGCCTCGGATGTCGACCATCCGACAAATCTGGGGCAAACAAGGCAGCAACTGCACCGGAGAGACTGTCTACAGAGGCAGCGGTTGCGAACAAACGAGCGAAGGTGAACTATCCGAGACTACCGCTTCTTTTCCATGTACCTTTTGTTGATAACAACTACCTACCTACCTTGCTGACAGTCGCAGCTACTGCCTATTTTGTTTGATTATAATTTCGGTACTATGCTCCAGCGAGTCGCACTGTTGCGTCCATGCATGCAACGAATACTGTATACTCAGTGGAGAATAGAATCCAGTCAAGCCTTACAACATCACTTTATGCAAGGCCCATCGATTGGACCTCCTGTTGGCTTCGGTACATCGAATCCCACTCACCGCGCGCCTTGGTACTGTGGTGTGCTAATTACTGCCTGTGGTTGATGATCTGTTGAACCTGATTTGCGATCTGACAGCTGCTGTTACTCTGAGCTGCCTACTATGACAGCGCTTACTTTTCACCGGCGATAGAGGATTCAGTTCGTTTTTATCTATCGACTAAGCTGATCTTATCAGATGGTTGATGCGATTCCACTCCCTCGTTGGAGCCCTACTGTATTTTCCCCTCTTGTCTTGGCTGTGTGCACTTCTGAGGTGTTCTGTTCACACATTCCAGTACGTTTTTCTTGGTAGCTCACTTGGGCCACAGGTTACACCCGTTGAACAATGTACGAACCCACATATGCATTTTTATTTCTGTATGATGTGGTTCCTTCCTCTTCCTGTCCTTCACAACATAGCGCCTGAAACGGAGCATTCTTGATCCACGATCTCATCAGTACTTCAGCTTTTTGACCATGCTGTTCAGCAGCAAATCTCCAATGTGGCCTGAACCCTGTGTCCAACCTTGGATCTCCTCAGTGGACTTCTATGGACAGCAAGATCTACCACTTGGGTTATTTCTCGAGAAGTGCTGTTTTTCGTACGTGATCCCGTTGTTGCTATTGTCATTTCGATTATGTTCAAGGTGACTTGTGTGCTGCAATGATATAATACTGCTTTTTGTAGAGTATATGGACTATTTGCGAAAATCCTCCACTGGCTCATCTTTGTTGTTTACATTGTGTCGCTTGCTCTCTTTCATTGGTTTATGCTTGCTCGCCACGTTCATTCTACCTAAAATTACCTCGAGCCACGTTGCTGACTTTCTGGGTGGATTGTACGATTGGCTCGGTTGGTCACTCGTCCATCGGGTCGCACACTTCATCCCTCGGTCCGGTGCCGCAGCAAACCTTGATTCAAGTGCGTACAGTCCAGTCGTGGGCTGGCAAACCAATCCGCTTTCGCCAGACTGAATTGGTCCTACTGGCGCCTGACTGGTCACCTGCACACTCAGTTGATGCTCATTCAGTTTACTTACCGTCTTCGCAGAGCCGACCACTCGCTGCTCAGCTGACCGATCCTCCTCCGATGACATGCTTCACTTTCCTTCTGGCTTACTTGCACACGTCTGGTACTCCGCGAAATGCTGCGTGGCATTCGATTGACCATCTGCCTACCGGTATCATGGCGTTTCTGCTTATCATCGGTTTCAGCAACCATCACAGGTTGTTTAGCGAATATGCTAGCGAAGTAAATAGAGGCTAGCTTCAGTTTCCAGATTATAACTTTTTGACTTCAGGGTCTCTTCTACTACGCGGCGAGGTCGTAGGTCCACTCGGTCGTGCAGCTGCAAATCTCCACCGTAATCTGACTTGGGCTGTCCACACACACAATTATGGTTAAATCAAAACAGTTATTCCTACAACAGTTAATCATTTCGAGAGCAAAGTCAGCGTCGGTGAGCACTGATGGGTTTACACCTTTTTGTTTATGGACTACCCGGTTTGAAGCGTGCGGTGGCATACTGGCTGGCAACATTTGTACTCCACCACCGTCATAAACTACCTGTGACGCTCGCACTGTGCGATTCTAATTGAGCATATTGTGCAAAATTTCTTGTCTCAGATAGCTAGGGTCTGTGGAAGGTATGACATCAACATCTCCTTGATCTTCCATGAAGAATCTGAATGACCGATAGCAGTTGACTTGTTTATTGTGGCTCTCACTAGATGCACTTGGAGCGCCCATCCACCTGAGCTTAGTGCATCTCCAGGGTACACATTCATCATTAAGATACGGCCTTATTTCGATGGACACAACCCAATCACCAGAACTTTCACAATTTGCTCACTGAGGTTTCTCTGATCCCCTGCTAATTGCCGCACGTTTTTGTAGCTATCTGGGGTTAACTTCCCACCTGAAGCCGATCGGTAACACATTTCAACTCTGGTTTGAATATCTTTTTATACCCATGTTTTCACATTCCTTCGCTCAACTATGTAGATCTTGCTGTTTGTGGTTCTTTAATAATTCGCCCCATGTGTGAAGTCCACGAGATGTTTCGATCCTTTCTCGTTTGTACACCTTTTCAGTCCCCGGCCATGTCGTCATCCTCACTGCGCATTACCCATGGTGGATCATGTTCAGCGATTTGTCCGAACTGACGGATATGTCCAGTTATCTATCCATAAATGCACTCGAGATTCCGGTTCCCCAATCTACTCCATCCCAGATGCCTTCCCTAGGATGCCTGGCACAACCCGACCATATAGCCGTATTTTGATGTGGCTGTTCTGTCCGGATTGTCGAATCAGCACATCCTTAGTCTACCTATCGGGTGATATATGGCATTACTCTTTTGTCAAATTTCTCGATCAGCTAATTAGCACCCCTTCCGATTGGACTAGATGTGCGATGCGTGTGGTAACCGTGTCAGTCAACAAATCAATCGAAGAAGCTTCGCATGCCATTGTACACTCTACCGAACGCACAGTTGAGAGTGATAACCAAGGCGGAGACAAAAATAGTCTGCGTTGTCCATCTATCTCTGCACCTGCATGGCAACGGACGTGCATGCATTCTGCGCACAAGGCGCTGAAACACTGCTTTTCCCTCGGTCGAAAGGTTGCTGTTTTTCAGTAAGTCATTAAACATACATCACACATATGTTCCATTATCATGGTTTCCTAATCCTCAAGGTATGTGACTTCCTTCTCTTATCACAATGCTATTGGGTTACTGACACCATTGGCTTTAGTCTACTCGCCCAGAATCTTCTTCGACCGTTGACTACGAATCATTGCTCATCTACCATGCGGCCACTTGATGAGTGGTGCCGTACACTTGGTAACGGACGTTCCGATGTTACGTCAAACTGTTTGATGCATCCGCAGTGTTCCATGACAGGGATACTTTTCATTCGTCTGCCTACTGACTACTTAGACAGGATTTTCAACATCAGTAGGTTAGTTGCTGTCTATGTGCCCCATGCTGAGGCTGATGTCGCATTTACGATGCTTCCTCACTGCAGTTGGGCTAAACCAACTTACACTTAAACTAAGTCTCTTTTTAAGCTGGATAAATTTCGCTCCACTTTATTTGGTTTGTTCTGTCTACCTGAAAAGTTTTTTATTGACTTTCACTCGTTGCTTACGCTTATTGCAGTTATCTTCGTTAATTTTATCGCGCTTGTAGCATTTTTAAATAACGTGTGAACAACTTGTACTTACTGCGGTTGTGTTGCTAACCAACTTACTTCACATGTTAATTTAGCGAATAGTTATATCGGCATAGCCGTATGCTTTAACATACATATTTTATTTGAGAATGTCATTTCAGATGATTGGCTGTTGTTTGACATCCTCGGTGTGGCTGCGCTTGATGTGCATGTTGACTAGGTGCCTACCTGTCTATTACCCACTACCTCGTCCATCTGCCTCCAGGAGACAGTTGGTCGTTGCTTGAGGGGACGGGTTGCACAGTCCTTGTGGTCGTGCTAGGCTCGTAGAGTGGTTCCATGCACTCAGTGTGGAGCGGACTACGGTCCAGCCACCGCCTTGTGGGTGCTTGATTCCCCAAATACAGCGTGCTTGTGTTTGCCTGTGAAGGAGTGTGTTGCGGCTCCGTTGATGAAACGTGGCTCTCATCCACATGCCTCCCTGTCTTATTCCTTCGGGTTTACACTGAATATGGGGTGTGTGGATGGAACTGTAGGTGGTGCAGCGCAAGCCATCCATGGTCACTTTGTGGACGCAGGCGTTCTGTGGCTGGCCACAGTGACAGGCAAATCCGGAAACGGATGCCGCCAACCATGTGCCTCATGCTGTGGTTGATATATGCACGTGCTTCTTCACCGCAGTTGGGCTAAACCAACTTGCACTTAATCTAGGTCTACTTCCCTGGATACAACTCACTCCAATTTATTTTGGTTGTTCAGTTCTGTTCTTTTGCTGCGTATTCTGTGCCAATTTTGCGCTTTTACTTTCCCTCAAATCTCATGTTGGTTGTTTGATATCATCGGTGTGCCTGGGTTTCATGTGAATGTTGACAATGTGCCTACCTGTCTAACACCTTCCACCTCAATTATTGGCTCCAGGAGACTGTATCTTTGCTGAGAGGGGGACGGAATGCACGGTCCTCGTGGCCGTGCTAGACTCAAAGAGCGCTTCGATCCAGTGTGGAGCGGACTACGGTCCAGCCACCGGCTTGTGTGCGCTTGATTCCCCAAATACAGCATGCTTGTGTTTGCCTGTGAAGGAGTGTGAGCCGGCTCCCGGTCTTATTCCTTCTGGTTTACACCGGATTTGTAATGTGTGGGTGTTGCAGCACAAGCCATCCATGGTCCCTCTGAAGACGCAGGCGTTCTGTGGCTGCCCTCGTGGAGGCCGCAGTGACAGGGAAATCCGGAACCGGATGCTGCCAATCATGCGGCAAGTTCATTTCAGTTGATCTACTATGATCCGGACACCGAATTGTGCTGGATTTATTTATCACAGCTTACCTCATTAGAATAACAATAAATAACAACTATAAGCAAATGCGATAGATGTAAATCGAATACAATGAAAATAGACTGAGGAACAAGTGTGCAAATCTACTCAGGATTGAACTACGACTAGGCTCAAGAAACCGAATGCAGGAGCTCCACTGACTGCGCGACTGCACCTTGTCCGCTATATTGGTCACCAACCACTGGTGTGGATTATCCCAGGGTCACATCCACGAAGACTTCATGACTCAGCCTGATCAAGTCTCTTGGTCAGTTCCTGCGTTATCGACAGGTTACCTCGCGGTTTCGCCCAACTTGGCGCAACCACGGCATATAATGCGCACCGAAGAAGCCGGTGAACGAGCATACGGAGGACACGATTTAGCCAACGTAAGCGCTTCCAGTACAACAGACACCAGTAAAGCACCAGAGGGTTTCTTACATAAACCCACTGGCGATCTTCCCACCTGATGTGTGTGATGGTAGTATCAGATCAGAGTGAGCAGATGGACCAACCGAGCGGGCCAAACAGCCAGTAGGAGACGGACTTGATGGGTTCGATTACTGGATACGGATTGGACGCTATTCGTTGGAGTGATTCACCGTTTGTTTACCTGAAGCAAAGGAGGAATTTCATCGACTCGGAAGGGTCGTTAGTTATTGTCTTGAACCTGCAGTTTATATCGAGGAGTTTGGCTTGCTAAACATGCTGAACTGTCTGCCGAATAAACACCTATCTCTGAAGGACTGAGTTTTGCAACAATGTGAGGAATACTCCGCAAGCACCGGTGGCAAAACGCGGCCAAGCGTTTAGTGCCTTCACTGCGAACTCGCCAACTTCGATCCATACAGTAACATCTGCCTTATCGCGGAGCTGTGCACCCTAACTTTCGTTGGCAGGTTGATATCCTGCAGTTTCCACTAATGGTTGAGCCTCTGGATAGTCACACGGGTCTTGCTGATACGCGAAGTGTCCTTCTTAGTCATGTGACCACCGGAGATAAGTGAGCCGGTGGACCACTTCCAGTTGTTGTTCGCTGATTGCTAGAGCTGGCGGCTGGAGCCCTAACAATGCGTTATTCTTTGGAGGTTCATAGCACTTGCGGAAACATGAGGCGCTGCGCGTCTGCTTGTCCGCTACTGTTTACCTAGGTAATACGTGCGACCCTAGGTAAGCTATACCTTCCGCGTACTCAAATGTTTTGCCTTCTGGCAGAAATTCCACTCCCGAAGAGCATGGAACATTGAAGTCCTTTATTATCATCCCGATCACAAGTTAACGAGAAAAGGATATATAGGACAACGGATGCTCCACGCAGCATTGACTTGCTGGTAACTCTAGGCATTTGTGACTAAGCGACCCTACACAGATTCCCCATGCACTGCATCGATTTGAACAACCTTTCCAGGGTCTCATGTGCTCTGTTGTGCAGCGTTGACCACTATGAGACTACAGACACCAGCTCGTCTGATGTTGACCTATTTAATCACACATTGCGACTGTGAACTAAGGACTGTTCACTGAATCAACGTAAATCTTCCACTTAGTTTCCCAATACTTACCTATCGGTCATCACTTAGTGACATCATCCTCCCTTCTAACCGTGCAGTAACCTCAAAATGACTATGATTTGCACTACGTCGATTAACAATGAACAGCCGCTACGTTGCGGTAACTGAGAAAGCGTTTGTCCTTTGGGGCTTAACCCATGGATTTTACCACTTAGTGCCTGTGTGCAGTTATGTTTTGTTTTTTCTAGGTACCGTCCAGCAACAATCTATGAGGTGGTCATGCCTCCAAACGAAATTCGAATTCATCCCTCTGCTGCAGCTGCGGCGGCCTCTCGCTTGTTTGCTTCCGATCACATGCCACCTTTGGTCCAGCCAAAGTCCACTTCTAATTCGTCTTGCTCCTACGGAAGCCGATTTTCCGATCCTGAACAGCGAATGCCTCCGCTTGGCTCAGGCGCTCCTCTCCCCGCTTATCTACATGCAGAGGCTGTCGATGCTTGGGAAAAGTGCGTCTCTGTAACATTCGTGCTCTATTATTCTTCACAATTTCTGCTTGTTCGGTTCATTCCTCACTTTTGTTTATTGTATCAACACATATAATAGGGACTTTTACTGGGCCAGAAGTCTTGTATTTTTTATGCATCACCTTTAGCCTTGTGGTCCAATTCCTTTCGTCTTTCATTGTGATCGGGCTATTTTCTGACATCTTTGTGTCTCCTTTTTCATACCGCATCTTGCTTTCCTATGCACATGCAGATATTATCGTGTGTACGCTACAGTGAAGTCCCATTTGGTCACACTTGTTCAGGACAATACCAATCCCGAACTAAGCCAAATGTTGGAAGATTATGTATATATCCTTGAGGTACGTGTTTCGTCTGCAGTGTACTTTGTTTTATCATCCGTATATTTTCTAGCTTGCATCCTACTGCCTTGTCTATACTACTTAAATTTTGTTCTCCATAAGTCTTTTGTTTGCTTCTTCGTAATGGTGCACCAACGATCACTCCGTTTCTTCATAAATGGCTTTGTTTGGACGATGCTGAAAGCCTTAATTCAAGGGCTGCTGAATTACGGCTCAGTTGAATTGCCCTACCGGCAATTAGCGCCCATAGGAAGCCCCACGACAAACGGATCAAAGCATGACTAACAATCATAATATCGCTTCTAATTAGTCTTACATACTATTCGACTGTAAGTCTTTCACTGCTAGATCCTTAAGTCTTCTTTAGAACAATTTAATCCGATTAGTGTCTTTTACCCACCTTCCTTGACTCCCTCTTCTGTCGCTTCGGGTCATCAGATCGCTCTCATCGTCCAGACGAATCAGCTTCATCCTTGATTGTGGTAGCTTTCGCCGTAGCGATGAGACTGAACCTAAATTTGGTTCGACGGTTTACAGAGCATTTCGACCTTTTGAGCTATTCAACTTGGTGCCCTCTGGCTCCTTAAGAGCAATTCACACTTGATTGTTCAATGGTTAGAAATCTGTCCATTTTAGTTTCCAGGCTAGGGATCGGAAATGGGATGGAATAGGGTGAGGCTAGAACTTCTGGTTGAAGACCCCACTCGTTCTCCTTTCTAGGTTAGGTGGCTCAGGCAGTATTCCAACCCATGTACAACCATAGCTAAATGAAATTATCAGCAACTCCGGCATCGATCATTGCACAATTTCAAATGGATCGGCTTATCTGCTGCATACAGCGGGGCGGATAAACGAAAACATGCTACTTCTGGCGCCTTCTTTCTTTCTTTTCAGATGTTTCTCGTATTCCCCTTCCTACCCCCCTTTCTGCTGTTCCTTCTGCATTCCCTAGCTTTGGTGAAGACTGTTGCCGTTCCATTGGAGCTCTGCCAGTTTCATCAAAATTTGAACAACATCACAAACATCATCTCATCAGACCACACTGTTTTGTTTCTCTGGCAGCGTTCAATGTTCGTGCCGCACGACATATAGGTCTGCTGACAGCAATTGCACGCACACTGGACGCATTGAGTCTACTGTACTACTTGTACAAGTCTAGGATCAAAGAACTTCGCGCGGCTATCGACGTAACTGCACTCAGCCTGTCCTTTCTTTATGGTTGTACGCATCCGGAGATGCTGACGCGGCAACCACTGGTCAAGCTTGGGTGGGCATCGTTCCCAGCTCCAAGACTTAGTCATCGTTGGTTGATTGGATTCCCGTGAACAACCGTTTGTGCGCAGCCCGTTTGGCGACATCAACCATGGTTGATTCACGAAGTAGTACTAGACGTTTGTTTGTGGTTTCCGCTTATGCTCCCACCTACCGCAGTTCACATACTGCCAAGGACACATTCTACCACGCACTGAACACGCTGCTTCGCAGTTCAGATATCGGAGTTCTCGCAGTGGACATGAATACGCGCATAGGTCATTTGAGCTTCTCAGAATGTCAACTGGATGGTACGTTTGGATTCAACTCTGAAACCACGGACGATGATAAGCGTTTGTGGCAATTGTACGCCGAAATCGGCTGTTCCATAGTAGGACGGCTTTCAGGCACAGTGGACGCCGATTTTTGACCAGCATCATCGCCATAAGTGTTGTGTGCCACCGTTCCACTCTTAATGAAACACTTGCGTCGATTCATCGTACCCTGGTTCGGTGCCGATTCCGCATGAATTTTTGCCAGGAAGCGTACCGAACATTTCAATCGACTAACATCGAAGTTGTTTCAGGCCTCAGTCAAGCTAAATTACCGAGATTCCCTGCATACCTGGCTTTCATCTGATTACTCTGTTGTACAGTTTGATTCATGACAATGCTTATTGCAATCTATCCACTCGTGACCTTCGCAACAAAGACTTTACCCGGGTTATACCACTACGCAGGACAAATGTGCGGTCTAACTTCTAACCAGATACACTGTCTTCTGGAATCGGCTCCCAACACAATTAGCTAATTTGAGAATTCGCCATCATTTTCTAATAAGCTCGGATGCTACCTCGACCTGAAGACGATTACGACATTTTGTACGTGGACACATAACCATCTACTAAATTAGGACCAATCTACCGTGTAATTGGTGAAATTGCAAAAATGCACGCAATCTAAGCAGTCCTCAATGCAACAATATTTTCCACCTTGGCGTAAAACCCAAACTTGCGAGACATATACATTCTGATCATGCCATATTATGGCGTGCCTCGTTCTGTCGAGAATAAAACATTTATTTATTTTGATGTAGTCAGGAGTAGGGGATTTTGATATAAATAATTGCGGGTTTGTCGCAGCCAGTTCCAAATCAGATAGTCGTCTACATGCCCGGAAAAGCACTAAACCTCAATTTCATCCTGTTGGGCATCATCAGGGGCCAACCCTGTCCTCTGCAGCGTTCGTAACTTGCATGACTTCCGTACTACTGATGATGCCCAACAGGCTGGAACTGCACTCTAGTGCTTTTTTGGACATATGGACGACTATCTGATTTGGAACTAGCTGTGCCGAACCCTCAGTTATTTATACCAAAATCCCCTACTCCTGATTACATCAAAATATATCCGCCCTGACAGTTTCCAAATGCTATGTTTAACATCCCTACTGTCAGTGGACCTCGTGTCTTTCGGGGCCAACCCTGTCCTCTTCAGCGTTCGTAACTTGCATGACAGTGGAGGATAAGACACGCTATATCGCAGTTCGCTTGTAAATCATGACGGTCCGAAGCTGTCCCCTGTGACCCAGTGGCATAAGCTGCTGACTGGCGGTGCAAGCCGCTGGTGGTCTTGGGTTCGAATCCTGATGGATCCGATGGATGCGCACTACTGATGATGCCCAACAGGCTGAAACTGCAGTCTAGTGCTTTTCCGGGCATGTGGACGACTATCTGATTTGGAACTGGCTGCGACGAGCCCTCAATTATTTATTTATTTATTGCCGGAAACACAACTGCATATTGCCAAAGCAAGTGCATGATATTAGCCGTACCTATATGCCCCACGATAATTATGAACGCAGCTTCTTACTTTATGAGAAATTTACCTACTACTACCACTACTACTATCATTGTTGTTTTTGGTATTATTAATGCAAATACTATTTTTATTCTCATCTAACCATTATCTCTTCATTCTGTGTACAAGATATTATATCTTACGGTTTTGCCAAAAGCTTGTGAACTATCGCCTAATGGGTCAAAGCGTAATTACGTCGTTTTTTCACTGCATAGAGGATGTCGGTATCAGCAATTTACCAAACCGTGCTCTCGACTCCCCAGCTGTGGCGAAAGGTTGCACTCCCCCCAAGGCATCACACGTAGCTTCGATTTATTTTGGTCGCATAATGGGAATAAAAGATACACAAACTCAGATGTTGTGTATCGACACCACTCGTCTGCGAGCTTCATCAGTTCTCCGTGATTTGATACCTCGTTTTGTCGTCGCATATGTTATTCCACTCTAGATGTACTGCTCTCGAGTGATTTTTCCTAGTAAACGCTTCAGATTAACCGTCTTGTCGTTAAAACACGTGGCCCGGTGTTCCGAAGCTGAATTTTGTTGATCTATTTGTGTCCACTCATCTTAGTTCTGGCAAGAAACTAGTGTCAGCGCTACTTACCGATACAAGTCACTCCCTTCACAGCGCATTATCTAAATGTATGTCAATTTCTTCAACCAGACAGAAGTGCAAGTTCAACCATTTCCGTGCACAAGCCTACTGTTCATCAGTTTTCTCTCCTAAACCAATATATAAATGGATATATTTCCCGATGGGTGGGACACATTCCCTTTTGTGTAACGACGATTTGTACAGCGAGTTGCCTCAACATTTCATTTATGGACTTGCTTTCAATATGGAACAGTGATGCAATGTTTCTTTGCGCATATAATAAGTAACATTATTTGAAGCTTCATGTTATCATCTCTTTTTTGCGCCATATTTTGCCACACCCCAACAAAGTCGTCCGATAATTAACCAGCCAATTTACGCTATGATGACATTGCTTATGTCGTTTGTTAATCCGCCTTTATCGGTTTGCTTTTGTGTCATACTTCTCTTGTTACATTGCTGAGAGCGTGTGGTGGGCTACACCTGAATATTCACCCGTCCTGGGTGTGTAAAACACTCCTGACCTGATTGTATTTCTTGACAATACTAGGAGATCTAGTTGACACAAGTTGCGTTTCTCTCATATGGACTCAGTCCGACGGTTGGCACACATCCAGATGAACAATGAATGGACCATTCCCTCATTTCGGGTCTCCTCAGCAGTACGTAGCTCGGACTCGTAACAATTTGTCGCAGGTTTTCGCCTCATATGTCACAGACGAAGTGCGCACGATTCCCGAAAGGATGAAACGGCCTCCCAGCGTCTTTCCAATTGTGTGATGGCTTTCTGACTGAGTTCGGTGGTGGCGAATTTAACTTACGTATACTTCACGAGTGCAATTGTGATGCAAAACATTATTTTGGTTTTTATTTTCTATTCTCCAGTCTTTGGCATCTTTTTCTATTGCTGCACAATAGCTGTAGTGTTTCTCACCTTCAGCCAACATGTACTCATGGTGATAAACTAATTTGAGTCGACTAAATAATTTCACTCCGCACAGTGATACTACTCGATTTATTGCTGCTGAATGTATCAACCAAATGCCACAACTTCCTGATGCCAGCGCCATTTGAAGTACTCGTTGTGTGAATAGAATGCGACGCGCAATGTTACTGTGTACCGGAATTCGTATTCAATTGAAACTCGGTACCAAGCCTTGCCCGTCATGACTCGGTAATCAGAGGGGTACAGGTTTCGGCTATTATTTTAATGATCCCCGATTCGAGGCCTGCTATCTCTAACTGGTGAGTTCAAACGCGTAGTGGAGTGCAGTGTTTTCCGGCGGGAAACATCCAGTTTTCATCTGCCTCGGCTACGGTCCTAGTGATCGAATTGGCCAAGGTTCGCTTCATTACGAATAACGGTCTACCTTACGATTTCGCGTCGCAATCCAATCACACAACCATTACCTCAATATGGCCGTCCAATCAGTCATTAACCGTTGTGTCAAGCGTTGCGCGTCGTGATCTGATGGCTACACCGCTTGAGATTTCCGCCGCCATCCCAATGGTCCCGGAATCGATGTCTGCTATTGCAATCTAATGAGCTCAACTAAGGTCGAAACACGTCGTGGAGTGCAGTATTTTTTGGCAGGCATCACTCCATATCTACATTCCACAACTTCCCTCTTCCTGTTTTCGTTTCCTTTAAAGATGGACGGCCGCCGGTCCCACATGGAATACCGGGCAGAGTTATTGCGTTATATGATTGAATTGGAAACTAAGCCACCGTCGACGTCACATGCGCGCAGCACGGAGTCTGCCTCTCCGCACTCAACTCAGTTGCCTCTCACATCAAACTTCATTGCCCCACATAGGGTACCTCTAAATGTCAACGTACAAGACACTTTGGTGTGTCAGGGTAGTGCGGTATCTGCATCCTTGCAATGTGAAAATAATTCCCTCGACGAACTTTCTTCTTCATCTTCCTCTCTTCCGTTACGCCATACTGTACATGATTCTACCACTCCTACCGTGGCCAGTGTTACAATCAAGGAGGAAGATCAGCTCAACACATCTGACTCCGCTCCTAAGTGGACTGCATTAGTTATGGACCTTGATGCAAGTAGGTAACACTGGTCCATCGAACTTTGGTGGTTGTTCATCAGACGCTGCACTATTCGCCATCCGTGTTCATTTTATGCCACCATTTCTTTTGGCTTCCTCTCTTCCTTTCACTCCCAATTGATTTTGCCTCACAGCTGAGAAAACCTTCGTTGTGCAGACCCTGATCAACGAGCTGAAGCGATGGATCTACATTTTCATTTCCGAGTGGAATTCAAGGTATGTTGGCCCCTCACTGTGGCTGACCTTAACTCGGTGTGCATTGTGGTTTTTCATACGATAATGTATTTGTTTTTAAAGCATTCGGTGTTGTTAGTGCATGTTTCTCAGCAACACGAGACTCAGTCCATTGAAACAGGGAGCTGATCGTGGCCAAATGTTTCGGCACAATTGAAAATTGACACAACAGGTGTGTAAGTAGGACGGGCAAATATGTTCTCCTCTCCATTGACCGAGGCAGCAGTTTGCATAAGTAGCCCAGAACATTGTACGAAACATGTGCATGCGGATCCATGAATACCTTTTTATCAGCCTAATACGGCTGCACATCAGTGAATTGCAGCGGGTAAATTAAACCAGCGCCTACGTTCATCCTACCCACGAAATGCTTTTAGCTCGGGCGGATAAACCCTTTCGCATTATTCTGACGTAGACAAAGGGGCATCAAAAATGCAGAGAATCTGCAAGATTTTCCTATTCGCAGTGATATACAGTGACCCGGAACAGCGGAAACGATACGATTTGAGGGGGTTTTTAGCGAGTTGATTAAAATATTGTTTTCAAGCTAATGAATAACATGTACAGTGTTATCGATCTAGTAACTGTAAGTTTGTAATGTCCTCCACGGTTTAGATTTCTGTTCCCTTCTGACTATTCAATCTCTAACGATGTGCTGAACAAAGTGAGTCGCCTTCCATATGGGTGAATTGGCGGCCTCCGTGTCCGGATGTGCCTGTCACTGTGGCCTCCACGGGGGCAGCCACAGGACGACAGCGTCTACAGAGCGACCATGGCTTGCGCTGCACCACGCACAGTTCCACCCACACACCCCATATCCGGTGTAAACCCGAATGAATAGGATCCACGTTTCATCAACGGAGCCGACCCACACTCCTTCAGCAAGCAGAACAAAAGCATTCCTGCCTAATTGGGAAATCATACACACCAGACGTACACAAGGCGATCGCTGGGCCATAGCGGTTTCACACAGAATGCCTGGAACCACTCTTTGAGCCTAGCACCGTTACGAGGTTGGCGCACCCCGTCCCCTCCCGCAACGATCAACTGTCTCCTAGAGCGAACAATCGAGGTGGAGGGTATTAGACGAATTACATTCACAACATTCACATCAGGCGCAGCCACAGCAGGGAACTTAATCAACAACTGCTTCTGAAATGCAAGAATACTCATCACGCAGGCAAACGTACCGCGTACGTCGCCTTATTTGCTTGGATTAGTAAATCGAATGGGAGCGTAGCCACCGTGCTTCTACTCCGCGTGCAATCGTTCCTTTTCCTGTACCTGGTCAACTGTTCTTTTAATCAGTCCACTGAATTCGCACCGATCAACTTTGCTTTGGATTCGCAAAACCTGAACTCAACATTAATCCGTCATAAACTCATCTTGTTTATGTCCTGGTAATATTATTTTCGGTTTGCCCGAGTGCCGCTTCCCTGCACTAAGTTGGCGTTCAAAATGCTGGTGAGTATCCTTGTTGAATTCATTCGGTACACGTGTAGACGTCCATTAATACCATCCGTGGCTAATGGCAGTTGGAATGCAACAAATGCACATGAACTATCACAAACTGGATAGAGACGCATGTACAAAATAGTACTACAAACGTGCATGGGTTTGGTTTGTAGGTAAGGCTAACAGCCATTTTCGCACGCATGAGAATAAGTACCCAATACGAACTGTTGATGCTTTCGCTAACATTTAGACGTGAACATAAGTGACAGTCGTAAAACCTTTGGCAATATAGTTGAACGAAACCGACATAGGACTAGTGATGCAACTGCCATCACTACAGTTACCAAGTAGAATGAGTAATAAACAAGCGGTACAGTAAAATAGTGTGTACTTCCGTATAGCCACATAGATATTATCATTGTCCCATCTCCTGTATCATGGGGTTTGGTATCTGAGGTAGCACCATGAGTTGATATGTTTGCCTGGTGTGTATACATTATTCGCAATTTCACTGGATTGTAACGAGCGAGTTATCACTACGAAAATAATCTTAGTAAGAACTCAGTTGGTTTAGATAAAAACAGTCACTGACCCAGGGTGGGCTCCCAAGTGCGAATGGTTTCCCAGTCTAGTGGTGTTATCCGGCGTTTAGCGTCGCATGAGCAATGCGTTAGTTCCTAGCCGTTAAGCGTAGTTCACCGCGCAGAGCAGACACGACGACGCACGCAGCAGACCGGAGTGACAACGCAGAAGGAGATTCAAACGGAAATGTATTGATCTAGTCATTTAAAACAACCTGTAAAATAACGAATTTAATAAGGGCAATAAAGTACAATCGTAAAGAAGAAACGTACAAACGCTGCAGGATGTTGTGTCTGGTTCATGAAGCCCTTTTCCTCTACTTGGTCAATCCAAGTCTTCCCTGTGCAGTCTGTCTATATTTTGGCAACACCTCATTCCCCGTAAGTACCCATGGGAAACGTACTTCGACATTTAATGGCGGGTTGATCTCATTATCATAAGTCACTTTTTACTCTCTGCCAGTGCAAAACGCACAGCAACTAGGTCCCATTTTCTCCCCTTTTTTGCGTCCGTGTGTTTGAATACCCAACCCAGATTTTTTAGGGAAATTTATGTTCACTCAGTTTCTATATTTGTTCCTCCTATTTCGACCTAACTGACTTCACTTTGTGTTTAGGCCGAAGCCTGCAATCGCTTTGAACATACAAGCATTTACTTCCTGACTCCACCGAACACTTGTGCGATCCACAGCCTTCCGAAGTGTGCGTTTGAGATCTGTCTCCTAGAGTCGGTTTACTCCTTCCGTATGTGCTGGCTACAACACTGTCGCTCTGTCACTGCTGTGCTCGACTCCAAAGGAGTATTGCAACGATTGTCTCTGCTGTCCATACGCACCCTTCGTGTCTAGACTCAAAGTGAACGTAACTAACCGTTGCTGGTTTCTGCATTCCGGCAGCAATCTGCTGCTGTTACATTCTCCGCCTCTCTCTGCGCTCGACTTTTCGTTTGCATTCACCCTATGTATCTACGATTAGGAGGATTTGTACACGAATGCGGATGAGTCATAAGGTTATTCAGCCTTCTCTCTCTCTCCCTGTCTTTTACTGGGATCCTGTCATGTGGGTCACTCTATGAATAATTCGATGCCATCTACCTATGGTTGTTTCCTTATTAATCGATCGCTATACACCTATTTGTACTGCTCCGCTTTGTGGAACGTTTGCGCATTACTCTCGTGGACTTGGGGTCCATACTGATACATAGTACTGACGCTTCGCTACCACGGAATCACTAGCTGTCTCGCGGCGGCTTGCTATACCGCGGATTCGAAACGGATTATAACGCAGCCACGTAATCTTTTCGATCACCGGCCGGCATGCATGAGATGACTACCGAAAAAAACGATCACCCTGGACAACAGGACGACATTTACGAATTGCAGTTTGCCTTATCAATTCGTCTTCAAGTTATTGCTTGACATCGCCTGGCAGTGCGCATAAAAAGAGGTCATTCGTGATCCGGTCAATTCAACTTGCGCTAGCCAACTGTTGCGATTTTGCGACTTAAGGAGGACTATGATTTGCTAGTTCGTTTCCCTTAGTGCTTGCAATCTTCAACCGTAGTCACTACTTGTGACATTGTATTTGTGCATCAGTGTATCCGCGGTGTTTGTTTACATCACTCTATGTCTTGGCCAATCAGCTCCTTCCAGCATGACACTATCATATAAAATGAATTCCGATGTCCCATTTCTTGACTGCAGATGAACGGTCGAGATATAAGCAGTATTGTTCTAAACATAGATATCCGATTGCAACACCCTTCTAACTTGTTGTGATCACTCTTCGGGTCCCTGCTTTTATTGTCTGTACGGTCCCCTGTAGTGTGTTTCGTTGCTATTCACCTTGCTTCATACCGCTTGCCTCAGCGCCCACCGCTTTTCTGTCATTGTAGGTGTGCCGAATATGACCTTCAGCTTAGACGTGCGGAGAAAACTGCTAAGGAGCTGCGCAAGAAACCTGGATCGACCTACGGTTGTGCTAGCCCGTTGCCTCAGCGGCACGTGAGGAAATCTCAACTCTCCGTTTCTGAGTCAGAAACCAATTCTGCATACGATGACGAGCCACCATCCGACTACGATCGTGCTGCTTTTCGGCCGCCTCTATCGGCGGATGACCATACCAACTCTGCTAAGGTGTTGCTCAATTCCGACCTGTCCACTTATCGAAATAATCCGTTGTTGCCTTCTGCTGTTGGACCGCTCACATTTGAAATATCCGACAAAAGTATGTCTGTTTCTTATCTCCGTTCTCTTTTTCCGATAGTTTTTCCCACTCCTCCACCTAGCGCCTCCCATACAATATATGCTGTCTTGCAGTTACGAAAGTGGCATTTGCAGAATTCTTCATGTTCCTCACATTCTAGCGTCCGTTTCCGATTCCCGCAGTGTCTCACAGACCGCCCACTAATTGACCCTGCATTAAGCACCTAACCCTCTGTCCGTCAGTGCATTTTCACTGAAGCGCCGCTGACTAAATAGTTGCTACTTTCCACATAACTCTGCTTTAACGTAGTCACCGTGTCTGCTAATCTTTACGGAATAGCATTTTGCTGTTTCACAATGTGCCCACTCATGAGCTGCGATTTTCGTCAATTGACTGCGTTAATCAGTCTCCTTATCGCCTCTCTTATTTTCCCCTCAGTCATGGATGTCATGTGATGTGCTGTTCCCCTTCTCCGTCCATCAGATACTTTATCCTCTCGTTACTATCTTTTTCTTACTAAAGCCTCACTTCCGACATCTGACTCGCAGACAACACCCACCATTTCTCGTGTCTGGAGCGATGGTACTACTCAGTCAATGTGTTTGGGCAACCAGAAGCTACGTGTCCGTGGGTTGGATCTCGCAACTAAATTTGGCTCCTCTCCGGACTCCCTTTCCAATTTGTGTGGTTACAATACTGTGATTACACCCAACTCCACTGTGACTGATCCATCACTTACCTCTGTGAATTCAGGCGACGGTTTGGATAAAAGAGAACGGGACACACTTCAGAAGACAATTGATTCTGCGTGTTCGCCTTTACTTGATCCGGTTAATCCTAAAGGTATGCTGTCAAGCTTTGTATCTCCTGGCAACCCCACTCTGTATCAGCCTCAATTGGTGTTTCCTCTAACAAGTCACGATTCTTCTTTTTTATCGCTGCTTTTGGAGCCAAACGTATATATGCGGACCTTGTTTTTGTACGCTTGCTTGACTACTAACCCTTTCGGGGCCACTTAAGATGTTGCTGCTATTTGGCAACTGACGCTATTAATCGTCTATCGGTGTTGATCCCGGTGTGATCTTCTGCGCTTGGATCTCACAAGTGAACACTTCCATCCTGACCTCATTCGATTCCGTTTTCCTTTTTAGTGCCTGCTTGTTATCCAACCCAGGATCTTGTGACAGTGTCCTCTTCATCCACGCCGCCTTTACGAGTAAAGAATTCCCATTCGCCAGCCCCAGAACCAATGTTTCAGGCAACGGGTATCTCTGTGGTGCCCACTTCACTTACCGTACCGTCGGGAGTCCGGCGCCTGATTAACACCTTGATGCCGAGCTCTAATGATGCGAAGGTGTTTGAAGAACCTTTCCCTGCATATGAACACCCACAACTGACTCTAATAGATAGCAGTAGAATTGGACTTTTTGGATTTTCTAGCATCACTTCAGTGACAAAGTATTCTGCAGAAAGCGGGAAGGACGTATCCAATTCGGAAGACTATATGCGCCATTTGATACATCACCTTAAGATCGCCACACCCGATGTGTACGTCAACGACCGCGAGTTGACGTCGATCGTCGCATTTGCTTTGTCGTAAGTGGTTGTTTATGCATATCATCTTTCCTGGGGTTATTTGATTTAGATAGCTATAATCTTTCATGTTCTGATCCTTTCGTTTAGTTTCCATAGTTTCCTACTTCCCAGTACCCATTATCGATCTTGGTAATAAGTAGGAGGCTTTCGAAATTTTTCGCTGCCTCCACTTGTAATCAGTGCTACTACATCAAGTCAAGTATTCCGATTGGGTTTGGTAGCGAATATCCTAAGTAATAGACATGGTTTCCAACCCTGGCATAACAGAAGTATGCCAAACACACGAACGCATTACATGCTTTTACGCACGGTTGCGTTGTTGCCAAATTTGATGATGAATTTTCTGCCTTCTTAAGCCACAGTTTTCTGAATACAATTTAGCGCTTTAAATGCACTCGGTGCACCACGACTTCTTGAAAAGAAGTCCTCATCCTAGGTGCCTATATCATTTCATTGCTCGATTCGCCTGAAGCTGCTACACTTACTCCGTGGATGTGCTCTTCGGTTTTCTCTGGGACTCGTGCTCGCTACAGCCTATTCACTTTATGTGTGTCAACTATCACCATACCATTTTTCGAGAGTTCATCGCGGTAGCCCCTTAAGTCAGATTACCAACCCCACATTCGGAAAAACTCCAAGCGGCCGTTTCGTTCTTTTGGGAATAGTCTGGTATGCATCCCTTAGCCCCTGTGACCTCTCGATCCTCGCGACTTATGCCACTACGCCACAGATTACAGCGGCGCATATAGCACAATTCATCCCTCATTGTCATGCAAGTTACGAACTTTTCGGATGGCGGGGATGACGTCTGGTGCCATGGATTCTCACAACAGCTTTTCCGAATGCGTTGTCACCTATCTGACTTGGAAGGCACTGCAATGAATTTAACAAAATTAGATTAAATATTCTCCACTCATGAGCATTTTCAGTGTCACCAATGTATATCGTACTACGGTTCCATGAATGACCGTATTACTTTACTGGAACTTTTATTTACATCTGCATTTGTTATTGTTCCCAATTTCTTGATAATTCTAATAATTTCAAACTGCCAATCACTTTTAAAAATTCTGTTTTAGTCTCCACTGTATGAAACGTGAACAATTATCTATTTTATGCAACCTCTTTGTATGCTTTGGACAGACCATTCTGTTGAACTGTCCCTCGCACCGTCGTAGGATATACCCTATATTTATGTACACTCGCAGCAAGCTAGTCTGAAGTCACGCAGGACTTCACTGTGTTGTTTAACTGTCGTTTTGTTTCCACAACCTTGCGGATATTACTTTCGTTCCTTTTGTTGGTTTTTCGTTATGTTACAACGGTGCATTCTTTTCTTTCTTCTTGCCTGACATTCGCGTTAAGAACCCGTCTTTCGGTCATTTTTGTTTCTACAGGATACTTTTGCATTTGATTGTTCTGTTAGCATTCGCGACCATTCCTTTTCGTATCTATCTTACATTCCCCAACGGGCACCGCAGTTTGGAATCCCCACTGTACGCCGTCATCACCTTCAAACCATTCTGGTGTCATTTCGCACGGTTTTCCCTCGGTTGACAGCTTGATCCACTGTCCGTGCTCCCAACGATAACCGATGTTCCATCCTATCTGTCCCTCATCTCGACATCAGCTTATGCCATACTGTCATGTGACGTCTCGGCTTGTGCGCTGTTGTGAAACATGCTATTTGTTTATTTCTTAGCATTACCGTTATTATACTTAAGATATTTAATTTTTCTTCTTTTGTATTTTTCCTTATTTCATTGTTGACTACGTCTCGCCTGATCTCCTGCAGTGACGGATTGAAGCTAACTAGCTAAAAACAGTTAGACCTATGCAAGGTGCAGTGCCACTGACTGACCGGCGTATAAAAGAGTGCCCTAATTGAATGATTCGCATGACGGAACGGCATGGTGTTCATAACCCATAATATAAAGCAATCTTAAAAAGCAAAATATTGTTACACAGATGACAGCTTACTTGCTATTTTACCCTGCTTCACGGCCAGAGTGAGCATAAAAGTGCGGGTGAAACTTTTCGAAGAAATACCCTGCATGGAAGCAGGTCTCCTTGGGATGGTCCCACGAATGACCGTATTACTTACTATACCATTTCCGAGTCACGTTAGGCCATACAGGTAACATCTTAAGCTAACCAGATATCAACTTCATCTGGTACGCTAACAGGTTACTCCTTCCGATGAACTAAGTTGAGTCAGGCGACTGTGACATGCGCGCACCGTCGTGTGGCTGGTTCCTTAGCCAAGCGCTGTCAGCCAATAGCATGTCGAATGCATAGTAGACATAGCAACGTGTACGCATGTGTAGGGTAGGTGGGTGTAGGGGAATCACTACAGCCCTGAGTTTGCTCGTGTGCGACTTGTCACATGGGCGGTAACGGATTACATGATGGGGGATGGGGGTAGTAATTTGTTAATATCTGAGGTCACCCACGACAGGCTAAGAGGAAACGGGGTCAGTGTATGATAAGGAATTTGAGCGCGATTCACACCACCATTATAACAGAGCCTGTTATGGAATAGGGTCACTGGCTACTCGCATTCTGACACGGCCGACAATCCGTGTTACTAAGCTAAACCCCAGGGGCTTGTCCGTACGATCTATCGCGTGCTAGGAACACATGGCGCACACCGGGCACTAGGCACAATACGAGGCAGATTATTGTGCAAACAAATTGGGTAAGTGATTTCCGATCATTGCTAACTCTACAATCGTATTCCCATGCGCCACGAGTTCTGAAGCTCTCACAGTGTTGTTTTACTGAGCGGAAACGTAAACCTCTATACTACACGACATTGCGCACTACTTTCGAGCAACTGACACGAGTACTGCATATCTTTACCCGAGCCTATAGTGCACTAGGACCACCCACGACGCTGAAATAACAACACTTCCATTTACAAACAATTAGTTTACTGAAACCAATGTTTTACATATCTGATAGATGAATAACACAACCGTAGTTCCCTATACAAGGTGCTGAACCATTGATGCTGTCTCACGAATGCTCGTGATTGAGACACCACCTTCTCCAGAAAACGTGTCCGCCACTCGCCTTTGCTTAGAACACCTGCAGGGTCACCTCTGAGCATTTCAGCACAGCGCGGTCTCATTTCTTGCTTCACATAGGACTTTATAATACTCCAGATGCCCTCGATGGGGTCAGGCGATGGAGAGTATGGGGCCAGTCGCAGAAGTTTCCCTGATCGGTAAGGTTCCTCCACAGAAACTTGCTCCAGGTCCGTGTGGTATGGCGCATTGTCGCAAATCAAAAGACAGCTTTCGATAAATGCCGAGCCGTTAGTATCCAGCAGTTGACGCACTGAGCACACCTATTTTTGTTGTAGCTGCCTCTTAAAAAGGGAGAAAGCTATCAAGGAATTCTTCGTCATGGCGCCAACTAGGTGTACATTCTGACCCCTATTATTCACCATGTTTCATTGCGCCCGAGTACCACGAAGGGAGCGTCCCCTGGTGTTCCAACAGAAAAGGTTGAAATTCGTTTCATCTGTCCACCCTGGTTGTCTATTTCTGCCTCCAAATTCATCAGCTGCAGTACGAATGATTTCCGTCGCCTTTTGTTCTCTAACGTGTTCAAAGACTCCGGAATAGCGTGCAACTTCTTCATAGCTATTAATCGGTCGTCTAAGTACCTGGCGACCGTGCTTGTGCATACCTCAACTTCAAACTCCGCTTTAAGGGTTATTGTTGGCTTCGCAGACACCCACTCAACCAGAGCGTCCACATGACTTTCTGTCAATGCTGTGCGATGAATCCCTCCATGCTGTCCCCTAGGTTCGGTTGACTCCCACATACGAATCCAGCTGCGGTCGGTTTTGACGTTTACGTTAAGCACACTGGCAACCTGCTTCCAATCCGCTCCCTCCTCATACATTTTCATTATTCTGCTCTTCTCTTCCATGGAATGGTGAGCATAAGGTCCTCTTCGTGCCATCGCTTCTCGCGTTCACGATCATACTGATAATTTGTTTCCCTAAAATTTCCTGTATATTGGACTCGACCGTTTGCCTCTGTCCTATCTCGCGAAACTGGCTGTCTCATTGACGCAAAGCTGGTCAGCTGTTTGCGGTCAGTCATCTGCCTTTCGGCGTTGCCTATCATCATCGCAGTAAGACCCCGGTATGCAGGTGATTTTTCATTTTGGTCACGGAACATAGTTGTCCCCCCTACGGTGACTTGTGATACATAAGGGCTACGAACTGTGAAGTCTACGAACCGCATAGGCTCTGGAGCCAGGTGTTAATTCGTGAGGAGGTGTATATCACCCTTAGCTCCAGGTGCAAGGAACGCAGGAATTCAACTGATGGTATTTCGTTCCCTCCTGCAGCACACCGGTTAGACTCGTAATCTCGTTTTATCAGTGGTGTTAACCAAACCTGTAAGGTAGATGGAAGCGGACGATGTAACGCAACCTCCCGATCGAATGCGGTTGATAACGACTTCACCACACAAACCTAGTGTCTGAAAGGACACTGCAGGGAGTCCAGGTTTCGGTTAAGATTGTCACCAGCATCGGAACACACAATAGGATAATGGTGCTAGGTGAATCCAATGTGGCAATTATTATGTATGCGGTTAGGCGACGCGCTTTACTCTTCAGTTGCGTTTGTTCATTTGATAACTAGCAGGCTGGTATTTCCGTCATTTTACCAGTACCCGAAAGCACGTTACGAAGTTACGATTAGGCTACAACTCATTATTACTTGTGCAAGTGAAGCATCTCACACTAATAATTTCATCAAAAAGCGTGGATTCTGTAGTCAGATTAACATGTGATCGCGTAGCGGACAAGTCACCTGCAACTGACCGGTTTACACTCCCTTCTGGGCGTGGGGAGGGCCGGAACCTGTAAATCGGTCACGATGATACGGGTTCCGCGATAAATGCAGTACGGTAGAAACAATAGTCCGGTACCTTGGATGCTTCCACGCGAATCCTGGAAGGAAATCAGTAGATCTGGATG